GGTAAGAACCCGTAGAGGGTAAGGATTATTTCAAACTTCCTTCCCCCATAGCCACAGGGTGGAACAAGCCTGATCCAGCAGACAGGTCCAGGCTTTGGGCACTGGTTGCTCCTCCCCAGCTCCCACATTTTGCCCATCAGCATCTGCTGTTCCTCGAAGCACTGGCACCTTCAAGCAGCCCAGGCAGCAGCAACGGGCTGAGCCCCAGTACCATCCCTCCTCCCCAGACAAATCAAAGTCTGTCAATGTAGCAATTTTACAGAGCTGGAAATCAAGGCAGAATAATGTCACTGCATTCATTTGCTAGGTATGTTTACAGGAGGTTTATGACTTCACGTAATTACTGGTGTCCAGAATACCTCTCCTCCCCAGGCCAGCTGGTTTCACACATGACACTACAGGATGTCACTACAACCCTGCCTGTTCCCACTGCTTGTCCTGCTGCTCTCCACCGCACCCACTCCCAGTTAACACTGGTTTTCCTGACAGCGGCTTATTGAGGTGACCTAGCTCCTCACACCCACCCAGGCTCTCACGGGGGCTGGCTGCTGGCCGAAAGGGGCAGAAGTCATCCAGGGAGTTTCTGGCAGGTCTGGGTTGACAGGAGAGGGAGATGGCTGCAAAGAGAAGAGCTTTGGCAGCTTGCTTGAAGACACTGGGCAGCTGAAGGTAAGCCATCACCTCGAAGGGGCAAACCAGCTTGCCCTGGGCTTGCTGGCCCCAGAGGTGGCTGCAAAGAGAGCACAGATGTCTGCAGCCATTGCTGTCACAGCAATAGCTGTCCTTCCAGTTCCAGCCTCACTTCTCAAGAAACGCCTCTGCCTTCTCCCTGTGCCAAGAGTAATACCTGCTTCCACGCGATGCTTTCCACTAGAGATCAGTATCCTCTTCACACGTGGAGATACTGAGGCACATGGTGGGATGGGACTTGCCCAAGATCATGTTACAAGCTGAATGTGACTCTTGTTTTTCAGATCAGCAATGTAAGCTTCCTGGTCCTTTCTCCTGCCCTGCTCTACCTGAACCGGCAGTACTGTCGGCAGCGTGCCTTGCCCTTGTATTTTGTCTCTGGCCTGCTCTTCTGCGTAGGTGGGTGCCAAGGTTGTGAAAAGACCAGATTGCCAGAGTACCTGGGTGTTCATTCGTGACACCTTTGGAGGCTGGTTCTTAGTGGCCAAAGAACAAGGGCAAGCTTGGGGGGGAAACGGAACAGCCGCCTCTCTCTGAAGCCCTGCAGCTCAGGGTTCCTTCTGGCTGTGGATGCAAAGCTCCCAGCCCAGTAAAACCCCGTGGTGCTGTGTGGACTGACTCACTCAGGCCTCCGATAACACCAAGGTCCATGCCCTGCTCTTCAGGAACAGTGCGTCTTTAGGAACGGCCCCCAAGAGCTTCCCAGGCCAGACAGGCTTGTGTGAGGAGGAATCTTTGCTGACTCAAGCTGTCCTTGCTCCTTGCAGGTATCTTCTCCACGTACTTTCACATGACCCTGAGCTACGTGGGACAACTCCTGGATGAGCTCTCCATCCTCTGGACGCTGGCTGCAGCATATTCCTTTTGGTACCCAAGGATTTACTTCCCCAGGTGCATCAAGAGCAGGTAGGACTCAGAGGGACATCGGTTTGCAGGCTCTAAGGGGAGGGATGGGACATTGGCATTGATGTGTGTGACCCACATATTCCCCCCCTGGCTCACAGCCAGCTCCCCTGCAAGGGGTCAGCACTGCAGTTACTGCAGTTTGCTTTGGGACCGGACCCTCCATCACTCAGTGGTGGATGTGCTGACAGAGGAAGAGTAAGAAACTCTCATGGGGAAGGGCTGTGCTGGGCTCCTGTCAACTGGAGCTTTTGTCTTTGCAAAGCTGCAGAGGAATCTTTGCATGGAGAATTTCAAAATTAATTAGGAAATTAAATGTTCTTGAGCACTGACATTCAATTACCCATGCTGTCAAACTGTTATAGCATCCCCCTGCCAACCACAGAGAGCTTTCCCTGAAGGCTGATGGGGTTTCCCACAGGACAAGCTGGTCCAAGTTAACAGCCCACATTTCAAAGATTGCATGCAGGAGGGCTGGCTGGGCTAGAGGAGCTCAGCAGAAAGGATGGGGACACTGGGTGAGCGTGGATGAGCAGAAACAGGAACTCAGCAGGGCTTTGCTCAAAGGATGGTTCCATCCTGTCAGGCTTGCTGGAGCTCTCTGGGCCAGCCCAGTTAGAAGTCTTGCAAAGGCCTGCTCCAAGTCTGCTCTTCCCATGCCAAAGAGGAGGTCACCAGGAGTTCACCGTGGAGACTTGGTTGGGGGAGAGGGGAAGGGACTTGGGAAGGGATTTGCATGTGAAAGGCCCCTCTGAGCCCTATTGTTGCTCAGTCAGCCCAAATCTGCATGTTTGCACGGTTGGAGCCCCTGCCCCTCACCGCTGGGACCTGCTTTGCAGCCCTTCCCTGTGCAAAGCTCCGGTCGCCTTTGCCTCCCGACGCTCCTCTCTGGCATCACCACGAAAGTGAACAAGTTACCTCCTGGGCTGTGTTCCCCACTCAGTCATGAGCTAACTGGGGGGGGCTTTAGGCAAAGCACAGATGCAGATACCTCAGTCTTCCTGCCAGGGCTGCCGCAGAGGCTGAGGTCAGCCTCTGCAAACAGATTGGAGGTGCTGGAGAAGGGCTTCCCCTCTCAGGCAATGAGCAGGACCTCTCCCATCCTTATCCTTCCACACTGTGAACCTTTGGGGCGCTGACACTCACTCCCAACTCCCTTTAGGAAGCATTTCTTCTGGTTGAGTGGTGTCACCACCGTCATCAGTACCTTGATGTCCTTCATCAAACCAGCCTTCAATGCCTACGTGCTCAACTGCATCGCCTTCCACCTGCTGTACCTGACATGGCGTGAGCTGAAAAAGTAAGGAGGGGGCTGAGAGGGGTTATGGGCAGGTCCATTACATGTCCCAGCAGGCTCACACGTGGCAGTGACCCTGTGCACAACGGCAAATCAAGCCCAAGTCTTCATCAGCCACATGTTGGACTAACAACTCTGCAAAGAATTGGGGCAGCCTGGGAGGGACCGGGGAGAGGCACTGTGGGCAGTGGGATACAAAAAGGCCATTTGGCTCCGGGGCGACACAGAATGGGGACAATCCATGGGATGAGTGTATCTTCTCCTACTTGGCTGTCATCTCTGCAGCTATTTTCCCCTTTGGGGGGGATTTGGGAACCAGTGTGGGGTTGGGGGGTGGGATTTGGGAACCAGTGTGGGGTTGGGAGATCTCACCAGGACCTGGGGACAAAGACAGGAGTGCCTTGGCATCTCTAGCATCATCCTCACCCACAGAAAGTCAGAAACCCTCTCTACAGAGCCCCGCTTCTCCAATTCTTGAGGTCTGATGAATACTCTCCAGCAGAAACTCGCTGGGTTTTGCCCTGTTGCATTAGCATTTACAGACACAAACCAGCCCTCTTTAAAACTCACTTTCTTTCCAACACAGTACTCCGCTCCCTCTCCCTCGCTGTCTTCCAGGTGCAATGACAAAAGGGTTCACCGGATGGCCGCGGCCATGGTCCTGTGGTGGGTGCTGGCCATCAGCAGCTGGATAAGTGACAGATGGCTCTGTGGGTTCTGGCAGGCAATCAACTTCCCCTACTTCCACAGCTTCTGGTAAGGGCTCCGGCGTAGAGGCAAGAACCCCAGCCCAGATATTTCAGGCACTGAAGGGCCACAGCTAAAGAGAAATGGCAGCAGGGATGTGATACACAACTAGGGAGCAGCCGCATCTCTGCCCAACCCTCTCCCCTCTTTCCTCCGTCACTACTGATGCTGCTCCTCAACCTGCTCCCAGCCCAAGGATTTGGTTCTAATCATTGTTTAATATCCCTTAACTCCTCTGCACCAGCCAAATGGTGTTTTGCAAGTGAAATTGTTCTAAGAGTCCCTCCAGGTAAGCAACTTACTTTCAAAGGGCTGCATCTGCTCCCGGGAAGCTGCATGAAGTGCAGTGCTCTTTGAGTTATTTTAATAGCCAAACTGAAAGACAGGGATTTGCTTGGGCAAGACATTTCAGTGCCTGGCCAAGAGTTGCTGTGCTACACACAGCACGCATTCTGAGCTTCATCCTCACAAATCACTGGGGTGACTGGGACAGATACCCAGCACTGCTGGGCTAGGCCAGGTGTGGTAGAATGAGGGGTTTGATTTGGGGCTTAAGTCTCCTACATCACCCCATCCCCTCTGTGCAAGGAATTGCCCCCGCTCCAGCTCAGAGAGCTCTTCCAGGGTTTCCCCACAGGCCCAAACCCTGCAGGACCCACGCTCCCTGCCACCCTCGTGCATCACGGGACTGGGACCTTTTCCCTCCGTTGCCGTACCCCTTGGCTTTAGCCTCACGGTGACAATGCCAGCCGCATACTGCTACAAGGGGCAGGAGAAGCAGATGGAGTCACCCCTGTCCGATACATGTCTTTTTGGTTTCCTTGCCAGGCATGTGCTGATAGCCATGTCCCTCCTCTACTGCTGCCCACTGGTCATCTACTTTGACGTCAGCTACGAGATGCCATCATTCAAGCCAAAGCTAGAATATTGGCCCAGCGACTCCTGGCCTGTCGTGGTGCCTTACGTTGCCCTGGAGGAACCCCACAAGCAGTGCTAGAGCCAGTTGCCCTCCGGCATCCCTCGGGCACGGGGTACGTGATGCACATGTGTGTGTCTGCACGGGGAACACCTCAGCTGCGCGCCTGTTCCTCGCACAAGGGCAACGTGGCTAGCGGATGGGGCAGGGAGCAGCTGAGGCCTCGTGATGCCGGGCATGAAGCGGGGTGGGAGCCCACAGGTGCCTTGGAAGACTCTGCCCAGGCTGGCATCTGGGCAACCGACGATCTCCTCCTCCAGCAGATCCCCACTGAGAAGGGGAGGGACACGGTGCTTCTTCTGCGTCTTCTGCATTAGTCAAACGGCAGCACATCTTGCTGACAAGAGCACAGCAGAGAACGCAGAAGCCAAACTGGTGACAGCTGGGTTTGTTGGGGCTGCTCTAGTAATTATTATTAATTTTATTTATTGATGTATGTGGTCTTGCTCAGGAGAGCTGTGCATTAAAGCTCTGGACACTGACTTGCACTGAGCCCCTTTCTTTCCCCTGACTGTACCATGTTCCCTGTCACCTGCCAGTCACTCCCACAGACAGGGTGGTCAAAGCTCTCTCTGACCTAGGGAGAACTGTTTCTAAAGAGAAATCCTCCTGGGTGACAGCCCAAAAGAGGCTCTGCTGGCCCAGGTCCTGGGGTGCTCTACCCCTCCTTCAACCCCCAGTGGCCCTTTTTCCTCTCCACCTCTGACAGTCTTCAATGGCCATGGGTAACTTGGAAACTCCTCAGCTTGCTGAAAGGGCTGGCTGGTGGCAGCGCATGAGGTAAGGAGCTAATACGTTAGATAAACATGTCAGTGCCTTTGCAAGAACAAAGAGAAGTAAAGACTCAGAGAAAGACCACTGCTGTGCCACAGGCACAAAGCGATGCTTTCTAGGTTCTCCCCACAGTGTAAGAGTTAAGAACTTGCTCTTGAGGCCACGGGACGCGCTCCTGTTCTCCAAGCCTTGCTGCATTACAGTGATGAACTGAACCATGCCGTGGGTCTGGGTCCTTGTGCAATCCACAGGGTCTCTGGAGAGCACCAAGAGGCTGCAGAGTGGCTGAGGTTGGCTCCCTGTAACGCAGTCAGAACAAGATAATGTCACCCCAGGGACCACGGGCTTTTTGGGCCCCTGTGAGTAAAGCAAAAGCAGAAGCACTCTGGGCTTCACCTCTGAGGTGGCCCTCCCGTGGCCGCTGCTGCCTCCTGGGTCCCTCTGCAATGGTCCCCAGAGCCACTAGATGGCAAATCTGGCTCATGAACCCCGAGCAATATTTCATCTTGGGAAAGGGATGCCTTGCACAAGGACTGAACCCCCAGGCCTTGTCCCCCTGCCCTCTCCATCCCCCAGCACCGGCACCAGACACCTCTCCACCAGCACGGCCACCGATGAGACATGTGCAGAAGGTGCAGGACAAGGGGGACTGGGCGCTCCAGCCTTTGTATGCCCTTGCCTCCCCGTGCAGGTGCCCATCTCCTCCTCCGTTTGCCTCTTTGTCTCTCCTGCATGCCATCACTCCTGCCTCTCCCCTCATCACCCCGTCTCCCTTTCTCTGACCTTCCCCGTTTCGCTGCCTCTTGCTCTCCCCCCACCTCACCCCTTCCCCAGCCCATCACATTCTTCTACAGCCTATTAATAACTTCTGGGCAATTGCACCGGGTCCCCGCTGGGCTCGGCCCCTCTGTCGGCTCTGCCCTGCGCAGCCACTGAACGCGCCGGCAGCAAGTTCAAAAGTGCAGCGGGGCTTTCACAGCCCCTCTCCCCGTCAGGGGGTGGAGGAGGCCGCTCGCAAAGAAAAGCCGCGTTGCCAGGGAGCCTGGCACAGGAAAAGGGGGTCACCTTCACCTCCGACAGGACCTCCGGAGATGGACAGGCGCCAGCAGCCCTGCGGGCCGGAGATGCTGAGAGAGCCGCGAAGGGATGGAGGCCGGGGCGTGGGCAGGAGGGCTAATTGGCCGCCTCCGGCCGCAGAGCCGGTGTGATGCTCGGCAGAAAAACCCAGCGGCGAAATCCCCTGTGCGGTATGGTAATAAGGGAGGTGTCCCGGGCGCCGCTGCCTTGAGAACAATGTTGCTGCAGTTGAGTGACTGTAACAGGCCCCGATGACAGCCGGGGCCGCGTTAAAAATGCCTATTCAAGCAGATCAAGACATTGAGAGGCCTCGTGGGGATGTGAAACCCTCAGGGATTTCTGGATGAAGCCAGAAGCTGAATCCCCAGCCCTGGGAACCTGGGGGGGGTGGAAAAAAAAAAAAAAAAAAAGAAAGACAGAAAGAGAGAAAAGAAAAGAAACCCACAAAGCAGCTTTAAAAGGACTGCAGTGCCCGAGGCAGGGCCTCTTGCTCCAAGCCGGGCTGTAGCCTGAGAAAGCGAAGCAGCCCTGACATCGGTGTGTGACCGTGGCTGGGGTGTCCCCAGGGCTGCGCAGGGTTATCTGAGGCTGGGGTCCCAGCTCCAAGAGGCCCCCGAGCTGCTGGGGATGCTCTGTCCTTTCCTGCCAGGGCTCCAGCTTGCAGGGCGCAGCCCCGTAAAAACGAGCAGGGCTGTTGAAGGGACGAGTCAGGGCGTTTTTGGCTCGAGCTGAAAGGGGTCCTGCAGGGATGACCAGCGCGCTGCACGGGTAAAGCTGGGAGCCCTCAGAGGGTGAAAGGCAACAGTGGCCCCTTCTCAACCCCCCCCCAGGCCGTGGGGAGTTCTGACAGTACCTTCTGCGGTGGGACCCTTGGCCGTGTGAGTGCCTCTCCAGGCACAGCCAGCCAGCTCGCTCAGCAGAGCAACACAAGAACACAGGCAGGGCAGGAAGAGCTGCAAACCCACATACTCAGGGATCTGAGTTAGGACTGGTCAAAACTAAACCTTTCCTTATTTTTGCCAGATGAGCCTTAACGCGGATCGTTTCCCTGATTTGGTTCCCCATGTGGCTGCCTAAACCACAAGAAAAGAGGCAAGAGAAGGAGCAGGAATGAGGAAGAGGATAGAGGCTGCTTCTTTCAACTGATGCCAGATTAAAGAGCTTGTGAAACAACGGTATCAGTTGAGCCTATTTGGTGCAATTGCAACACAAATGAAATAATAATGTTGATAATGCACCAGTCCTGCAGCATCAAGGATTAACACTTACCTGTTCTGCTGCACCGAATTGCCTCCTGCTGTTGCAGATTTACACTGCAGGATTTGGCTCGCAGACTGGAAACTTTTCAAGGCAGAGTGATTTATCTGGAAAAGACATTGCACATTCATGGACCTGCATAAATAATGCAGAAGTAATTAATAATAACCCAGTCCCTGCTCTTAACAGTGTCAGGAGAAGAAACTGCTTTACTGGAGTGTCTCTTATGTCTTTTGCAAAAGATCTTTATTTGTTAACTGTCTCAAAGAGAAAGAAGATAATAGTTTTGAAACACAAATGGATGTCGCTAGGTCCTGGAATTTTATTGCCAGACTGGAAAACTTTACGATTGATTTAAAGAACCCTCTGCTGGAGTCATGTTAAAACAACATTGATCCAGCTTTAATCTCCTAGGTCTGCAGTCAAAAGTTTGAAATCATGAACGCAAAGGGCTAAAAAGCCAGGAAGAAAAGAGATGAGCTCTAAGAATTATTACCTCTAAAAGTCTTTCAACTCAAAGTGCTACTTCTGAGGTTTGACACAGGATTTCCAACTTGGGGGCTGGCAATTTAGTTACACCCACTTCACAACTTCTAGGAAAGATTTTTTTTTTTTTTTTTTTTTTTTTTTACTGTTTTACCTACACCCACTTTTCATACACGACAAAATTATCCATAGGGACATAAAGAAATGCCAAGATTTGCCAGATATTCATGGCTGTTCTGGACGGATGAAAGGTATCAGGTCCTGATGAGCTGAAAGTCATGTTTCAGTGAGTACTCTGTCACAGTGTGTGCAGCCGCCGGGGTCTTGAGGTCCCCTGCCCATGTCTTTCTGTATTAGCTCACACGGTGGCTGCACACATAATCGGGGCCGGTTTTGACCAGTGATCATAGAGGAGATGTGGGTAAAAGTCATTTCTCAGTAAGGAGAAGCGTGGCCAAAAAAAACAGTTGACAGAAAATTATTTTTAATCAAAAGATCAAATGATCTCTTCAGCTGTTTTTATAAAGCCCCATGATTTGGGTCCACTTAGTAAGACATTCTCACTGCTGTTTTCCGAAGAACAACAAGCAGTTCACATTTGTCTGACAAAGTGTCTCAAATAACTTCAATTCTTTAGTAATGGCTGCTATCAAAATACCTAAAATGGAAGGATTCATTTTTCTGTGCCTTCACATTACAGCTCAAAAACATGGTTTCAATTAGGACTGTTCTCCACTTTTTTTCATTCACTTTCTACGAACATCCAGTCACCTGGGTCCCGATTCATGAGCTCACTTAAGCACATGCTTTTTTATAAATGTGTTTAAATGTAAAACTGAATTGGGTTGTTCTGAAATGACACACTTAGTTTCACTGTCACAAATATTTAACGAAAGGCAAAGATTTATCTCAAATGCAGAAGTATTCACCAAAAGCAACATTCAGTTGTGCATTGGGCTATAAAATTCACAATCTGCAATTGATGCTGCATTTATTTAGATAGGCCTTCCGTAAGAGACCAGCTGTCTTAGTTCACTAAAATGCTTAAGCATATGTTTAATTTTAAGAGTATGAATAATTCCATTGATATCAATGGCACTTGCTTACATTTAAGAATATATTTTGCTGGGCTGGAGCCAGAAATAGTGCCATGTAATGCCAATAAAGTGCAAGCTGCAATATTTCTCTATGTGTTTTCTAGGACCAATTTAAAAATTAATCAATGAAGAACTGTAATGTGAAAATGCAAAAATTAATATATGTGAGATTTTGCTGTTTACTATCCTAATATTGCCAAGTATTAAGATCCACCAGAGCACTGCCAAGTGAAATCAAAACCAAATCTGTGAAATGGAGCAAAAATGGCAACAAGTTGAATTTGTTATTCATCATGAATCATCCTATCAGACTTAAAGTTTTACTCATATCGCACTGAGTAACATTTACCATCCTTACAGAAAGACATGCACACAGATTAAAGATGGGGTCTGACCCCATTTGTACCATCCCCAGTGGGTACTCACTCTGTTCAGCGCAGAGAGCCAGTCCAGTTCGAAGTGGATGCTTGGAAGGGAGAGCAGGATCTGCTCTGTAACAGCAGAAAAGTGCCTTGAACAAGGATAACTTTTAATGATCAAAATATCATAGAGCAAATGGTCACTAAACCCATGATGTTGCTCACCTGCTTTGTGCCTTACCTTCCACAAAACTCTGTGAATTGCTCTGTGATGAGGAACAGATGAAAATTTCCAGCCATCAAACACTTCAGCTATTTGTATTTCTTCTCAGAACTTTACTCCTCACAAGTCCAACAGCACTGACGTTGCCAGTGACCTACACAATCCTGGGACATACCCCTTATTCCCCTGTGATAGTATCATCATATAAACAGCCATATATCCATATGCAAATGATTGCTGTTTTCAAGCTGTTCATGAGCGACCTTATATACTGCCCATACGGTACAGTAATATGTTTTCCACAGATGTCAGATGTTTCATGACACATTTCATGCATATATTTAAAATAGATTTCAGAGCATATAAAAATGCACAGGCAACGGAAGAAAATGGCCTGCATCTGCAATGTTTACATAATGCATTTCAAAATTGCATGAAATGTGTCCAAACTGATTGTATTCTTCATCTATCTAAAATATTGATGGCATATAAAATGTATGTGTAATGGGTTCACTCATGAGTATGTATTACATGCCTTCTTTTGATGCCTGAGTAACAAAGGGAAAGAATTTGCTACAGCTCTGCCTCCACAGTGTAGCTACAGAGACAATTCTCAATTCTCCCTGTGTTGGTCAAAATGGCATTTGTCGTATGTGTGTCACTTTATATTCCAGCCTGACTCCCCTGAAACTCCACTGGGTGGGTCTTCAGGCAACAAAAGCAAGCTCCAAAGCATTTGAGACGCGCCACACTGCTAAGATACGACTTTGCTGCAATCAGGTGCACTATTGTCTCACAGGTAGTGATATCAGCAATAATGATTAAGTTTCAGTGGGATAAATTTCAGCATGGTAAGGCCAGCCAAATTCCCTGAGTCACAGGCAGGCTTGCATAGCCCATACTACAGCGTGGGGGATTATCTGAACTGCTATCCTACCTGAGCTAGCTAGATTAGAGATGGTTTGCATACATTTACATATGTGGCAACCCCACCTCCAGTTGCTGTGTAGACAGGTAAAAGCTTATTTCATATAATTCCAGAAAAACAGTTTAGTTTTGCTGGAATCTGTCATGACAGCAGCTGACCCAGAATCCACAAAAATCAGAAATTCATGCTAATTTGAATGTTACAGGCTCTGAAATGTTTCTCTACCAGATCTGGGATGTCTCACAATCTGCTCTGCTTATAGTGAGTATCAAACCACCAGGCCGGGTATCTGCTGATGTTGGAAGTGGCCAGTTGCTCTGCAAACCGCCAAAGTGACTTGCTGGGGTTGGCAATAGCAGAAGCACCAGTTGCAAGAGGAAAAGACGCCACACAACGTGAGCCAGAGCTCAGGATGCTCAGAAACATGGCAAGCATGAGCGTGTGGCCACTGGACTGCTACGTTACAGCCCCAGGAAACTCCAAACACTGGGAATGCCTTGAGAGAGGTTATATCTCAGATAGCGTATTTGTCTGGAACAGTAATTCCTACTTGCTTTTTGGACTCTTCAATCCAGAAAACAATTCAGAACAGGCTTTTTGGTGCTGGTCAGAGTCCCCTACTGATCTCCTCCTGTCATGCTGTATTTTTCAAGCTATTTTTTCCCCCCCATCTGGTATTTTTCAGTGACCTAAAAGTTATCCTGTCTAGGGTGACAGTCACCAGTCAGAAGGTGGCCCCTCTCTGAGCGTGCAGATGAGCACCTTTCAACAACTTTGGCATCAACCAAAAGCAGCCCCATGCAAAGGAGACGCAAATTTCGGCAGTGAATCTCCCTCCCTCCTATTGTACCGCGATTGTGTTTGCTTCAATGGGCACATAAGGTGCCTGGGCCCGTCTTCTCCAGCCTGCACTTCTGCCAGCAGCTCGTATTCAGCGTTGGACAAATCCGGCTTGTGAAATGCTCTCCGCGGCAGGTCCAGCCGGCTGGCGGGTTTGGCACGACGCAGACCGTTACATCACTTGGCCAAACGTGACCTCTGTCTGTAGAGTGCGAGAGAAAGGTACCGTCACCCGACGGCTGCTCAATAGCCAGGCGAAACGAATTGATAGGTGTCGATTCAGCCCGCAGTGGGCCAGTAGCTACATTACAATGCCAACCTCACCTTTGGTGTTAATGAGGCCCCTTCATTAACAGCCTGGAGCAGAGGGGTCAGGGACTGAATAGAGGCAGACTCCTTTCTCACCCAGAAAGCTGGTCCTTCTCATTCAGAATTGAAGCACGTTGGCGGGGCAGTTCGAGGACGCTTGTGCTGCCCATGTTGCATCTGCAAGGGACATGACGTATTTGTGACTATTCATCTGGCTCTTTTCACCAGCACTAAATACACAGAAAGAATAAAATAAATTCTCATTGTGTTCCCACTTACTAAGAAAATTTTCCCTCTTCCTTCTGGTTTGGAGAGTTATTGTACATTAAAAGCCTTTTGCGTTTTTGCATTTTTCGGTAGCTATAGTATGCTATAATTTAGATTTTCCTCAGGCACAAAAGAACTTAGTTAAGCTAAACTGTATTACAGTGTGGGTTTTTTTTTCTACTAAGTCCTTCATTAATAAGGGAACTAAAGAATTTCCAAGCTGTCTGTAATTTTTCCCAGATGCAGCTAGTAGTTGCTAGGAGTATCTTTTTGGCAATCAGAGTTTTTGGCTATTAACAATCTGGACTTTCGCTATACTACCCTGGTGTTAAATATGTGCTGTGAATACTGTAGTGTGGAGCGTGAAGTGAAAAAGGAGGGGAAGGCAGAGAACAGGCAAAGCAAAATCAGTTTTAGAAGAATAAATATTGCTAGGATTAACAGCTGATTCAAACGAACACGCTTCCCTGCAGGGATCCCTATGCTGATTAGCAAACCGGGAGCCCAGCTACACCAGAACAAGCATCGCTGCAGGACTAACTCCTCACTCACAGCTTCTCTCTATCACTATCTGTTCTGTTTTCTCCCTGGCAGCCAACACGGACAAGCCCTGCAGTGAGCCTGAGCCATGAACTAAAAACAACAAAGACCACAGCCAGCCATACACAAACCCAAGCAGCACCCAGCTCCCCTCGGGGCCACCAGGGAAACCGAACCCTCTCCTGACTTCAGGTTCAGGACATTTGCTGACGTTGTACGTAAGGACATGACACTTGTTGGCAAAGCCATGGGAAGTACCAGGAGAAAGATATCTGCTTCTTATTACCTAAAATGACATCATTTCTTTGTTTTGACTACAGGTACGTTCATCTTGGAAATGCCACAGAGTATTTGGCTCATCAGATGTGCTTCATGAAAGCAGACAAAGATCACTATAATAATTTTGCAGCTGGTAAGAGAAGGCAGTGAAGTGACTTACATCCAGGAGAGAACTTAAGGGTCTTTCCACTCGGTAATGTTGCATATGGACACAAAGTGGAAGCACATATTTTCTCAGAGAAATCCTGCCCAAATGCAAGATTTTTGTCTTAATCTTTAAATCCACGCGACTATTACAAGATCATAATTTTTCTATGCTGCCTGACTCTTTAAGTGCTGGAGACAGCCCTGCTTGTTGGCTGGCTGGTGTCCAAGCCACTCAAAGCACAGACTGACCACAGAAGTTGTGGTCTTCAGTTCAAGAGTGAAAACAGAGAAGATGCAATTAAATTAGTAAGGAGAAAATAATAATGAATGACGAAAAACAGCGAGACAGACTTGTTTCTGCAGGGGTAGGAAGCACAAGCTGCAAACATAGGCATACAAATTGATGATGGGACCTTACAGTGCGTGTACAGACAATCACCCCAAGGAGCGATGCTGAGCCTACAGGAATACTTTTGCTACAAAACGAGAGGTGTTGCCTGGAGGCTGGCGAGTAAGCCATTTGGGTACCTTGGGATTGCCGTGGGGGCTGCCAGCTTGGGGGGCTGTGTGTGCTTTGGGGGTCAATGCTGTGTTCCCACAGAGACGGGGAGCTGCGGAGGAGGGAGGAGAGGTGCCTCGAGGAGCCGTGCTGATGGCTCTTGCCTGCTCCCCAGACCGGGGTGGGCTCTGCTGCAGTTCGGTGTCCCCCGGCCAGTCCTCTCCCAGGAGGGGTCTGTGGGCGCCTGAGCGTGGGCTGCCTGCGCTGGCCCAACTCGCGCATGACGCGACTCTCCCCACCGAGGCCCGAGGACTCATCTCTTCTCAAACCCCCCAGTTGCTGCCTCCTTCACTCATGCTCCCCAAGAACAGCCAGGTTTGGCCTGTCAAGCAGCCACAGAGTGTACAGGCAGGAGAAAGGATGTGTTGCACCTTCCCAGGACTGTACGTTAGCCTGTGCTGAAGGTGACACTCCAGAAATGTTTCCTGTCCCTGGGTTTACCTGGCCAAGGCAGGGACAGGTGCAGCACAAAGTCTTTTTCCACTTTATTTTTCACCATCTCTAACTCTCAGGGGACAAACTCAGTCCTTGGCATAGTCCCCTACTGTGGGCCAAGCCAGATTAAATACATACCTTTCAGTCCAAGACAAGGATCTTTGAAGCAAGACTCTGGAAAGAAAAATAAAAAGTCCAAACAAAAATTAGGGAGAGCTGTCATGTCTCATTTGCATATTTGAATATGCAAATAAGATCTGTTTCTTATCCATTGGCACTGGCCCTACTGTAGATGGCAGCAACACAGCAGATCTCTGCCAGCATACAGTGCCACAAAGAAAGATACTAATTGGATTTGCAGACGCTTATTGCAAAACCCAGAAGTTGCTGGAATAGATATAAAGAAACAGGAGCTCAGCCCACGGCTGCCTTGGGTGCGAAGGCACTCAGCTGACAGCTCGTTAGCTTGAGATGTCCTTGCAAAATTAGAAGTTTGGAGGAGCCTGGATGGCTGCTGGCTCCACCTTCCCCAGCACTACCCAGCACCTGAAACTCCCAACGCACTCCCACAGAGCCTGGCAAATTTTCTACCCTTGGCTGTGACTTTTTTGGGGGAGCTCGGGGGGGGGCAAGATTTAAAAGAAAATCAGGGGTAAGCTTGATTAGTCATTGGGCTGGAAACTGTTCAGAACTGGGAACTGCTAGTGGAGCAAAGACTGGTTATAGAAATTTCTCTCCTTGAGTATTTTTGCAGTTGAATGCAAAGAGCTACCCCAGCACATTTTAAATTAAACCACTCTCACTACTTGTCCCAGCACAGAGCCCGGGGGTGCTGGCTTGGAGCAGGCATTGATATAAGGATGTGCTTACTTTGAATGGGGCATCCCAGCTTCTTCAGTATAGCTTGATGGCCATGTATTGCACGGCCTGCCCAAGGTGCCGTGGAAGCTGAGGCAGCCGACTCAGGGTTTTCTGTCCCAGACTTGGAAATGCCTTAAGTTCACACTGGGATCCCAGCCCAGGCCATAGAGCCCCTGAAAGCCGGGAGAGAGGCCTGTGTCCAAACCAGCAGAAGTAAATACGGGTGTGCTGAAGTGGGAGGGCAGCCCGGGTCCTGCACTGGGAGAGGATGAAAACAACTGTTAACACTGGGCTGGGCAAAAATAAGGGCACAGAAGAATTGCCACCGATGGGAACTAAAATAAAAAGCAAATTCTAGTGGTGTTTCAGAGGGAATAACAGACAATTTTTCAGGAAAGGGAAAAGTTCAGGGTCTTGTGTGTCAGAGCAATACCTCCTGAACAAGGAAGAAATTCAACAGAGCGAGTGTGGAGTCAAACTTGGGAAAGATGAAGGCATTTCCAGAAAAGTTGCAGGCCTGGGAGCGTGTAACCACCAAGGACTGTGATGAGGCTGGGAGTGAATAGCTAGGATTGGGAGTTCGAAAATAAAAGATTTAGACCCAAGAGTCATATGTATGGGAATAATGTCCACAATTAAAGATATCAATGAGAAATCCCAGAGAAAGAGGCCCTGTCTCAACAGAAAAGAAAAGAGACTGTCCGAGGAGATGTCTTTTGGGACTGCATCAGACAGAAACATGGAAAATTAAAACTGGAGCACTTGAAAGAATCCAAATCAGGTCCTTTTTTGTTGTTGTTGTTGTTAACTGAAGCGATTAAGCATTTTGCTTTACTAATATCCTCTATCAGGTTGATGAGGTAAACTGGCTCTTTAGAATGATTTGGGAACCGATTAATCCTTGCCTGTGGCTATCGGTTAGCAACACACACGGCGTTATTGGCTAACACGCATTTTTCTGCTGCCTTACAGAGATCAACAAACTATTTCAAACAAGAAAGTTGCACGAAGGAAAAAAATTCTGCCTTGCATCTAAAAGAAAATTTGCTCAGAAACAGTCACAAATTGCACTTGTAACGACAGTCCCGCGTTAATTTAAGGCTCACAAAATCGAGCGCAGTAACTTGTCATTTAGAGCTCTAAGAAAAGGTAAACAAAACCCACTTTTCAGATGCAAATGTCACGCTCATAGTCAGCAGCGGTGCTGAGAAAACCGCGTTTGCCGGGCGGGCGGCTTTTAATGATGCCTCCGCCGCAGCCAGCAGCTCCTTTCTCAGCCAGGACAGTGACCTCCGGGCTCGTCACCCAGCTGAGCCTGCGGCTGATAACCACCGCTCCACTGAAGGAATCCCTGGGACCATTTGCATTGCAAATGCCCCCCGCTACAGACCAGAAAACGAGATATTGTTTCCCCTGCGGCGAACAGCCCCGGCCCCCGCGGTCTCCACGGGCCGCCGGCGGCCCGTGAGGCCCGGGCCGGAGCGGCGGCGGCCGGGGGGGGGGGGGGGGGGTTCGGGGAGAGCGGGGGGGGGGAGAGAGGGGAAACGCGGGAACGGGAGGGAAACCTGAGGGACAAAGAGGAGAAATGAGAGAAACTGAGGGGGGAATGAGGGAGAGCGCGGGGGAAATTGAAACCGAGAGAAAATGGGGGAGGCTGAGGGGAGAAAGGAGGGGGGAAACGGGGGAGACCGAGGGGGAAATTGAAACTCGGAGAAAACGAGGGAGACTGAGGAGGAAAATGAGAGACTGGGGGGAAAACTGAGAGAAAATGAGGGAGGCTGAGGGGGGTAACTGAAACCGAGATAAAATGGGGGAGGCTGAAGGGGAAAATGAGGGAGACCGAGGGCAGCTGACATGAAACGAGGGAGAGCAAGGGGAAAATGAAGGAGAACAAGGGAGAACGAAGGTGAGGGGAAACGACGGAGGAGGAATTAGAGAAACTGAGGAGAAACGAGGGCTAGAGGCAAAAGGCGGGGGGGGTAGGGGGATGATGAACAGTGGGGGGGAAAACGATACCGAAGGAAAATGAAGGGGGGAGAGATGAAGGGAAAACGAGGAGAGGCTGAGGGAGAACAAGGAGAACCGAGGGCAAGCAGTGCCACCAGCTTCCTGCCCAGCCATTCTGGACTGCCGTGCCCGCTGTACTGGGAGCTGTGGTTTCCCTTGTTCTCAGCTCATTTGTGTAAGAAATTAATAAACGGATGAGATTCGCTGCCGCCAGCGGCGAGGAAGCGTGGTCCGAGGGAGGGAAAAGGGGCGGGTTTGGCGCGGCCGGGGCCGCACAACAAGGCCCAAGCGCTTGGTCCCGGTGCCGGTCGGCGGCCGTGCTGCACTGTCCTGGTGGGGGGGGGGCAGACCCGGGAAAGGCTCCGTGGAACGGGGCGGGGGGCGCCGGCCCGAACCCGGCCACGCCGCAGGGCAGGAGCGGAGCTGCCGCGCCCGCCGCTGCCGCCGCGGGGGGGGGGCCCCGCACTCCCCGCTTGACCCAGCGCGGGCCCCACCCCTATCCCCGCCCCCCCGGGCAGCCCGCCCGCCGCCGGTTGGACGCAACGACTGCCCATCTGGTATAGGCAGGGGGGGCCGGCGGCGCCCGGGCGGAAGCTCCGCCTCCAGGCGTGAGGAGGCGGTGCGGCGATTGGCGGCGGGCGGGTGCCTCTCTGGCGGCGTCGGTTTCCGGTTCCGCGGGGCGGGCGCCGGGGGGGGGGGGGTGGCGGGGCTGCTGCCTGTGAGTGACACACAATGAGGCGAGCGGCGGCGGCGGGGCCGTGAGGGGCCGCGACCGAGGAGGCGGCGGCGGGCGGCCGAGGCGGCGGGGAGGGGGGGTGGGGGGGGACGGAGAGCGGCTTCGCTCGTAGAGGGGGGGGAAAAAAGAGGCACCCCCCCCCCACGCCGACCGGCTCAGCGTAAACCGCCGCGGCGGGAGGGAGCGAGCGAGCGGGGCCCGCGGCGCTGCGCCCAGCCATGGACAATCAGGTGAGGGGAGCGGCGGCGCCCGCCCCCCCCCCCCCGCGCTGCTGTGGGGGTGGGGCCCCTCGGCGCTGCCCCTCCCCCTCCGCACGGTGGGACACGCGTGGGGAGGGGCCGGGTCGCCCCCCGTGCACCGGGGGAGGGGGCCCTTCCTTGGGTGGGGGGGGGGGGGGAAGCTCACCCCCGTTCTGGGTGAGGTGGGGGTGGGTTCATTCCCCCCGGTGGTGTTGGGGGGCATCAATCCCCCACCCTCCTTGAGGGAGGCACACGTCCCCCCACACCCCCCCTTTTTCTGGGGGGGGGGGTGTCGCTCAGCCTTCGCCCCTTCATGGGCGGCCGCGCTACAGCCTCGCCCGCGGCGGGGGGTGGCAGCAGCATTTCCCGCAAATTCCTGCCCGGGCTTATTGACGGGGAGGGGTGGTGCTGGCGTCCCTACCCCCATCAGCCGCGGTGCGAGGGGTTAATGCCACCGAGAGAGTTATTGCCGCGCTGGGGAGGCGGGGGGGAGGCCGCCTGGCAGCGGCCGGGGGGGCTGCCGTGCTGCAGCGGGCGGGGATGGATGCTGGAAGTTTACCTGAGGTGATGTCGAACAGGCTGGCTCAGGCCTTTTGTGTGCGAGCTGGTAACAGGTTACCGCCGAGCCTGAGGTTCAGGAGCTGAGCCCCGCTATCCTTTGAATAAATCAGCCAAAGGAGAGCGAATGGAAACTGGTTATGGCTTTCAGGCAATTAGCACATCAAACAAAAAACCAGAGCAGCCTTCTGAATGTTTATTGAGAAGTTGAAAAGCAGACGCCTTTGTACTATTACAAATTGTTTGAATAGGATCCTGATTTCCCTTTGTTGAGAGACACGCTTGGAAAAAAACCTCCATTTTCAGTGGAGCAACTTTGGATGTTTGTTATGTTGGGAGATCTTATTTTCAAATGTGTTTCAACTTCTGGCTTAATTCGTAGTGATTGTTAATTGGACCGATATGTGAGGAGTATAGCAAGTACAACTTTCACTCTCATTTAAACAGTTCTCTCTTCTGTTTAATTTTGTTCTCTTCCACATAGTCCCATCTGTTTCTCAGCTAAAATCTCTCAGCCTTTTCAACTAGAAAGGCAAATTCTGTAGACTGACAGTCATTTGCACTTCTCTGGAGAGGGGTAGTAACTGGCAACAGTAGCACAATTTAAAGGGTAATTATGGAATTTCTAACGTGAAGCTGCAGAACAGCCTGGCTCAGTTGATGTGAACACTTGCGTGAACGCTGTGGGAAGTATCTCGGATAAAGCAGGCCTGCAAGCACCCTCCTCTGTGAGCCTGGGATTTAGGCAGACGATCTCCACGTAATGCTCTTCCACCACAGGAGAGATTGCTGTGCTTCGAGTGATACACACCTTGCCTTTTTTTCTTATTCCTTAATATGACATGAAAGAACAGACGGCCGTGTACCTTCATTTTTAGCGCAGGAGCGAGATCGAGCCAGTGTAGCTAAGACCTAAAGTGCAGAATGGGAAAAAATGGCTTGCCGAGAGAACTTGCAGAGGAAGGTAACCTAAAGAAATGTTGTAGTATTACCAGTGAAGCAATTAATTAGATGAGTTTGTCCCCGAGTCTTAGAATTGATGTGTTGGACGGCAGCTGAAGGTATTTTGCTATAAAGATAACTGCCTGAAAGAGCGTGTTAAGGCTTACGGTTGAAATTAGAACTGGACAGCAATTTGGGAGGTCGAGCTTTGATGCCTGTTACCCTGTAGACCTCCCGTGTGATCTTTTTACAAAGAAAAGAACACTAAGAGTGTGACTGACTTATACTTTCTGAAAAAGCATTAACTGTTCTTTGAAAATCACTTTCCCATAAAATGTCAGGTTAGGTATGCAAAATATTTTTTGAGTGTTAATCATGGTCATACTCCTTGTTGCAGTTCCTCAGGGGGAAAATGAGGATAATACTTTTCCTAAATATTTGTCTGAAGCTCGGGAAGCTTTCTCTTTCCATGTTCACTGTCTAACATCATGCCCTCAGTTTGGCTCGGTGTCCACCTGTAATATAGGTAATGACAAATAATGTTGCCTCTCCCAATGGTAATTGAGAACTGCCAGAAAGAAGGCAGCATTTATTTTTAAGTCTTAGATGAAGAAGTAGGCAAGAACTAAAAGCTGTCCCTTTTTTTATAACCTTCCAGTTGCTGAAGCTGGATTTTGATGGGTTTAGTTTGAGATTGCTGTGCTGCTGGTCTAGTTTGCATAACATATATGGACAAAATTAGTAAGTAGTCGGATAGCTTAGGTGTTATTCCCTCTCTCTACAAATCTTGTGCTAAGATTTGCTTGCTTTAACTCGAGTCTGAATCACATTTGCCTTTCCTCTGTTAATCTGTTTAATTCATTTGCTTGCTTCTGACTATGAAGTCTGCAATAATATGTGGATCTTCACGATTAATTTAATGTGTTTTTTAAGATATTTAATGGGATTTTTGTACTTTGAGTAAGACATTGAATACACCTCTGTTATTCAACGATTAGAGTAGAATTCGAGAGTGCAAATGAGAATTAGGGTATTTTAGTGATGGATATTGTGCAGACATGCTATATGTTAACTTAGTCTTTGAAAGTGTGCTAATAAAATACTAAAAAGAATACAAGGAGCATCATAGTTTTATTCTATTGAATTACGTATTCTAGGGAAAATCATAAACCACTAGTTCATGATCTATTTTTTCCGGTTTTAAGATTAGCTTTCTGTCAGTATTGGGAATTCTGTAAGCTGTGAACATCAAGTTTTTTCTCTGACACTTTCTAGAAATAAGGATTCTGCAATTAGGACTTTGGCAATTTATATGATAAGTGAGGCAGATAAACCTATCCCTCTTCTAAAACTGTTATCTCTGCAATGCTAATATTAGGAAGAAAATAGGTGTGAAATGGTGCTGGGAGCTATTTTTATGATGCCTTTTCTGTTGACAACACCGTAGTTTTCAGAATGAGACTAATCTCTCTGTGGAGGCTGCTGTATTCCTCCCCTGTGGTGATATATCATCTTCTGTCGGTGGGGCTCAGCATTATGCATAACATGTAAGCTGTTTCATTTTGCTTATGGTCTTACCTCTGTCCTAAAACAGTGCACGGTTCAAGTAAAATTGGAGCTGGGGCACCGAGCCCAACTGCGGAAAAAGCCCACCACTGAAGGGTTTACTCATGACTGGATGGTGTTTGTCCGTGGTCCGGAGCAGTGTGACATCCAGCATTTTGTGGAAAGGGTGGTCTTTCGGCTACATGAGAGCTTCCCAAAACCCAAGCGAGGTGAGTGTGTTTTTAAAGAAGCATTATTATGTCTTCTCTGTATGAAAGAGCATTGTGCAAGTCAAGGTTGTCTTGGACTGTCACTTTGCTGTAAAATAGCTTCTTAAAGAGGAGCAAGATGTACGTTGCGTGCACTTCAGCTTTAACCTTTACTGTCTTTGTTTGAGGAAGGTCAGGGAGAATGGGACCTTTCTTCTGATGAAAGGGCTGGAGGTGAGATGCTTTTTCCTCTTGTTTAAGCATTAGTACACACAGATTCTCAAGACGCTTAGTGACAGCAGAAGATAATTCATGTTATAAAATGGGAAAGGTGGGTTTGATTTGTTAATATTTGCCAACGCAAGCTGGAAGAGTGTGGTTGGTGAGAGATGCTTGTATACATCCTGGAGTATGTAGACTTTCGCACTGATCATTAAGTAGCCATCAGGATTCCTGCAATTTCTAGTCTCAGATGCCAGTTCAGGTAGTATTAAACCCAGCAGAAATCATTGATGCCAAGGGGCAATCTAACGTACTGGCTGTGCGTTCCAACTGCAGGTATGTGTGCAAGCACTGTGCAGCCAGCATGGCTGGGGAGAGTATACAGATTGCAGTGTTACTTTCTGCTGGATCTGTTCTTTGCTCTTTCTGGCTGTAGCAACATGAACCTTATTTTTGGCACAGGGCAGCAGGAACGCAGGTTCAGGTGAAGGAGCTGGAATTGCCCTTTTCGGCAGCAGCGCAGAGTTAGATCTGCTTAAGATTGTGTAACTGCATCTGCAGTGTTGTTATTATGTAGTGTTACAAGGAATGCTGACCAACTAAAAGTATTGCTGTAAATTACTTCATAATGTACATTCTTTGAAATATTTCTTTCAAAGACTGCTGGTCACGCAGGGTATCTTAGGACTACCTACTACGCTGGTTATTTGTGAGAGTCCACAGTGGAAAGTAACTCAAAGGTGTTCAGCTCATAAGGATGTGAATCTAGTCTGTATGTTAATAATATCTCCTTCAAATTGATGTAGTAAAACTGATGTATGATAAGCAAGTTCAATACTGAGCTGAAAGCTAATTTATAGAATAAAAGTTACAATCTGTTGTGCTACAATTCTTGTCATCTGGTGTAATTACTTTATTACAAACAACTGTGTTGGGCTAGTACATGGTCTTTGCTCAGTCGGTTGCTGTATCATCTACCTTTAAAGAGGCAGTTTTTTCCCATCTCTAGGTTTTGCATGCTTTCTTAAGCTTATTCATCATGCCAGCTTGCTTTTGACCAAAGAGTGTCTGGGTTGTACATAAATGGTATGGCATATGCATACTATTTCTAGATTTGTTTGAGGGGTTTCTTCAGATGGCTCGCTCTTGGAGCAAAATCTACTGGTGAAGGTAGGCTTGTGCTGCTAGCAGATTGCTTGTGTAGTAATTTTAATTTGTTAAAATAGAGTGGCAAAGGAACAAAGGCTGCTTGGCAGATAGTCTTAAGCTTCCTGCTGCCATATTGGCACCATTCTTTGGTTTTGGGTTTTTTCCCCCTAAATGATAGGGTTCTTACATGAAATTCAAGTTAAAGCAAGTCTAGAGATTTTTATTATTTTTAGATATGCTCTTTTTTCACAGTTGAATTTTGAGTACCGCTTTCTAGCACCTTAATGATGGTAGAAGTGCTTGGAGCTGGGGATGATATATCTACATTAAAGGAAAATAACTTGCGTGCTTTTTAGGTTTGAGGTACTGCTTCTTAATCGTATTAATTACTTGGAATTCTTTAGAGAAAGTAAAGATTTGCACTGAATTCCTCTAATTACTTAATTGTCTTTATTTACACATATATTTACATATATTGTAGTGCATAAATTATATGCAAGTGCGTCCGGTTCCTGAAAGGGAGAATATGTGTGTTGGTCTCATGTTTCTTCTGGCAGCTGTTACGTGTAGCTATGTCATGGCCAAATAAATGATCTTAGAATCCTTTGAGTTGGCTATCACTATACTGAAATGCAGTGGTAGATGAGAGGAAGGCTTCAGTAGCATGAAGACACGACGGATAGGGGGATAGGGGGAACTGAGGCAGGAAGCACGCGGACTAATTTTAGAAGTGATTAACTTTTGTAATCGATGTTTCTGCAGTAAGCAGAACTGTGACCTTAGGGCCAAATGGTTTAACCTTTCTCCGTTTCCTTGTATGTAAAATAAATAGCAGTGCTTACCTGCCCTTCAGGTTTGTTAGGACATTTGAGTGAAGCAGCTTGCAGTATGGCCGTTACGTAATTATGAAAATTGAGTATTGCAGGAGAGCATTTAAAGGAAAAAAGAATCATCTGCTTGCGTCATACAGTGTTTTGATTAATAATTATAGGCAGCAAAGTAATTTTTACCTTTCCGTACAGTTCCAATTCCCACCTTTTAGGTCTACACCGTTTTTTTGCAAGACAGCTTTAACTGGCAGTTTACATTGTTGTGGAACAGCACAGAAATGTAATTGTATCTCACTGCAAAAGGGGGGGGGAGAATCTCATGGAGACTCCGGCATGGAGTGTTTTATGTTTCCTTTCCATGGGAGGAGCTAAGAACAGATTTTCATGTTCTTAACTAAGCCTGTGACCACCATCTTATTTTGTTTGGGTGGTTTTTTGTTTTTTGTTTTTTTTTCCACAGAGGTCAATGTTTTAAATGTGTCCTGAGTTGTCAGAGGCCCATTTCTCATCTTGCCACTGCTTTTTGGCTTAGATTAAGTTGCATTATATTCAAAGTTAACATTTGTCTATTCTCTTTTCAGTATGCAAGGAACCCCCTTACAAAGTGGAGGAGTCTGGCTACGCAGGCTTCATTATGCCCATTGAAGTGCACTTCAAAAATAAGGTAGAATCTGATTTCTGGTCTTCTAATTGTTTTGAGCTATGCCAGAGCCTGAAACTGCCTGACAGAAAGACTCTAAATTATGTGACTGTTTTATGTGTGTGTTTTTTATTAGTCTAATAAATAGAATTTAACTGGGAGTTGGAAGCTCCTGCCAAACTTCAAAAGAAAGCTTTTGGCAGAAATGGAATAGTATAGAAAGGTAATATCAGGACAGGGTGATGGGCCTAGAGGTTCTGAACAGATTGTACCACTTGTAGCAAGCTTTTCTAGCATGGATAATACTAAAGCAGCTTAAAATATTTTATGCAGGTGGGGAAGTAAATAAACATAAACCACAGATTTTTATAAACATTTGTAAATACTCTGTTGAATGACTATATTAAAAAAATCTTTTTTTTTTTTTTTTTTTTTTTGCAATCTTATGAAATTAACTGTACAGGTATAAAATTTGTGTAGGCCCAAGACAAACATTTGCATATATAGGACAAGTATTTATAGCTATGTTAAAAATATTGTTGTTCTGATTCAGTACTCTTCCAAAAAGAAAACACTGAGTGTTTTAAATCTTAAGATCCATTGCCAACAAGTGTATGGAAGTTAAAATTTGGAATTTATTACTTGCTTTAAGTCTTGCCACAGAGGTCACATGCTACACGACTTGAAGAAGGTTATGAAAATAGGGATTTGGGCACTTAAGTTCATATTAACTCAATTTTGTTAAACATGAATACTGAATCTTTCTGGGTTTGATTACTACTTTAAATAAAAAAAAATAACGTTCTCTTTATTATCCCTAAGAGGGAACCTAGATAAACTAAAAATTTGACCCTTAAGCCACATCACTATAATGTATGCTCCCACCCCCCTCAACCCTCCACGCACAAGCCATTACTCCAGGTTTTGTTGACAGCAGACCACATGTAACAACCTAATTCTATTTAGCTTCCCAGCATCCCTTCCATTGTACCTCCCACGAATGTATCTGTCTACGATTTCCTTCTCGCCCCCATCTAGCACAGGATACTCTCCTGACGGTGTCATTTTATGAATAAATAACGTTTTAGTTTGTGTTTTGGTCTATCGCATTGCTCTTGGCCCACTTTATGAGTCTGAGTGATAAGCCAAATAATGCGACTGAACCACAAGAAGACTTGTCTTTTAAACCTGGGAACCTTTTGCCCGCAACTTTCTTTTGGGTGGGTGGGGTAAGCCAAAAGGATGTGAAGAGAAATGGCAGTTAGAGAGCAGGGGATGAAAGCTGTTGATACAAGCAGCTTTTTTGGCAAACACTGAAAACTATGACTTGAATAAAAAAAAAAAAAAAAAACAAAAAACCCAACCAAAAAAAAAACCTCAAAAGCTTAAAAGTAGTTTGACTTCTAGTGGCTTTTCTGAGGTTTTGAATGGAAATCAGGAAACTCTTCATCTGCACTGTATGTTGGCTTAATTCAGATTCAAAATCTACTTTTACATTCCTGACCAAAAAATGTGAATTCTCCGAGCTGATTTCTTGTAAGATGAATCTCGCATGACTGTGGTGGGTGAACTATGTTTTGTTTCTACTCTTCCCTTTCATTTTTCCCTCCTTTCTTCACCCAGTCTTTTCTCACACTTGCCTTTCCCCTGCAGGTCTCTGATGGCTTTGTCTTTCACAAGTCCCCAGATCCTTCTCTCTCATTTCTGCCTCTCCTGTATTTTTTTGTAGGTGCACTTGTTTGCATTATCTGTCATCTACATTCCTATGCTTTCTTTCTCTCTGTCCCTTATATTCGTGTGCTCTTCGCAGAATGTGGAACTGGGAGCTTTTCTGAATATAACTTGATTTCATGCCCGCCAGGGTCATCACTTCTCATTGTTTGTATAAACACGTGACTGCGTAGTTGCTCTTTCCAACATTAGGGATAGGGTGGCTTTTATAAATAAGGGAAATAGGTGGTCTCTGTTCTTAGTGGAAACAATGGATGTAGCAGTTAATTCAGGAGAAGGCGGTCTGGTTTTGACATTTCGGTCTTCAGAAACGTGAAAAATAAATAGGAGAACAGGTTTAGTTGCAGACTTATTTTTCAAAACTACAAATCTTCATAATACTCACCTTTGCCCTGTTTTTTAGATGCATGCGTTCTGGAGAAGTTCTTTTCCACTTTTAAGCTGATTGACAAATTGACTAATTAAAGGGTTTCAGACAGCACCTCCCGTTATTAAACTGGGGCAACTGGAGTTTGAGGGAAAACGTGATAGCTTCTGTCTTCCAGCACATAACTTGAACAGAGACACATTCCCAGGTTCAACCATGAGCTTGAAATAAGTGAGCTATACTGAAGTTGTTTGAAATTTGCTTTTACTGCTTCAAAGTAATTTTTCTGTTCTTATGTCAGCAAATGTTATATTCTCTACACATTTGGAAGTTAAGCATAGTACTTATGATGGATGGCTGGAAGCTTAGAAGCTGCCTGATCATGTGAAGATATTGCCCGGTGATAATGCCATTGTGAAATATTAAGAGCTATGATGATTTTCAGTAAGTGGAGCTGAAGGAAATGTAAGAGGTAAATACTTCTGCAGTGATAGAAGTAGAAAGACAAAAGATAAGCAAAGACTGGGATATAGTGGAAGTGAAAGAGATTGGAAAAGAGGAGGAGGAGAAATGGCAAAGTCTTTAGAATACAGCCTATTTTCTTCTGCATTAAAGAATATGACATTAAAGCACCAAATAAATAAGTCTTTACTACTTTGAGACCATATGTTCACTCCGATCTCTGTAAACCTGTTGACACTGGTGGGGATCAGCTGTTGTGTGTAGAGCGTATACTGTTCTGAATTTGCCTGAATTGATGACAGCATTTGGGACTCATCCTTGAATAACTCTTTTCAGGTAGATGTTAGGGATTGATTCTGGGATTGGGTAGAAAACACTGTTTGGTGGGTGACTGGGGAGGAGGATTTGGGTGGGTCTTTCTGGCCATATGTTCCCTACATTCTAGCACATTTTTGTTGATGTGTGTCCTCTCAGTTGAAACGAGTTGCAAAAGCTTTGTGATTTGTTTATGGATGCATGTTTAGCTTTATAAAGGTGAGAAGAGAAAGGATTTAAAGAGGGAGTGAACTAATCTGTGGAGGTTGATCTTTGCCATGGTTGGCTGAAATTTTTTTTTCCACAGTTGAAGCCTCCTTTCTTAGCTGTTTCCTTTCCCTGTTCTAATTTGTTACTAGGATGATAAATAGTGGTTGTCAGAGCCAGTGTACTCTTTGCTTTGGCTAAAGAAACATGGGTCTGTTCAGTGCTAAGGAACAGTTTTACTAAGAATGGTTTTAAAGAACTACATCAGGGATTTTTGTTTAGGCAACTTTGCATAAAACTGCCCATTAACCCTTTGTGTTGGAGTACTCTTTTTTTTTTTTTGGTTATTGTTGTCCATTTGGAGTAGGAGAGTCGGTGCTCTTGGCGCCACTGAAGCTTTTGGTGCCTCTGTCAGACAGGGAAGTGTCAGCAGAGTATTAAAAAAGGTGCAAGAGCCTGTTCTTACCCTCTGTGAACATAGTTACGGCTTGTCGACATGTGTTTGTCCTTCCTGTGCTGTAGGTCAGTTCCTCAATAAGTAGGTGCTTTCTCAGTCTTGTCACTTGAATTACAGAATATATATTTTGAATATTGCTGTGACCTGGGTGGTTTGTATATCCGAGCTTTCTAGAGGGTTGCAGTGGTCTATACAGGGCACAGGACTTGCAGTCTCATTTGATATTGGTGCCCAGCTAGAGCCTTTGCCTCTGTAACTGAACCTGAAAAACAAATGGCAGGGTCTCAGTAGGTTGAACGAGAAAGCTTTTGAAAGCACAGTTGACTAATGATAATGGATCATTTGGGACTGTTGGACTGAAAATGTTAGTATGCTATTTTTGTTTTGAAATCCTTTGTGTTTCTTCTTATAATGTGGGCTGCAGTTAGTGGCTTCTGGTGCTTGGATCAATACAAACTGGGTACAATAAATGTGTTGCTGTTTTTCTACTGCTCTTCCCCTTCCCTTTCCCCCACTCAATTTCAACAGTCTTGAGACTTTTTTTTCCTGGCCTCGTTGTCTCCAAATCCATCTCTTATAGCGGCATATGTTGTAATCTGGAGGCTGTAATACAGGTATGACTTTGGTATTCATCCCATTACATTTCTGCATCCTAATCAAATTAGATCACCCCCCCACACACACACAGAAGCTAAAGGTCTAGTATACTTTCATGCTATTCAGATGTACAGCAGATGATATTAATGCAACATGGATAAGATGTTGTATTGAAGTCTCTTTAAAGATACTACCTCCCAATTTCAGTGCTAGAGATAAAAGGCTTCCAGTATTTACATAATGGATACATGTAACTTGGGCATTTTTCTAGTAGTGAAAAGGGAGATAAGTGGAGAAAGCAGAGAAATCAGTTTGATTTTTTTTCTGTTAGGTTCAAAATAAAAACATGCATATTTTGCCTTTTCTGCAATATTTATAGGTGTGATACATAAAATACATAGAAAAAGTATTGGAGAAGGGGAAAATTATTTGTGTTTCAGATTAGGAACACAGTGGAGACGCTGTACATAGGGCAGGGTAGGTGAAACTAGAGATCAGTTAGAACTATGTGTCAGGACTGTGCCATCAGGAAGGTATTGGCTTGTGAAATACTTCTGAGGAAGGTTGCTGAAGAGCCCGTGTTTGCATGAGACACTGGATTTTACGTAACAAATTGCTGTGTTATTGGGGCAGGATCTGCACAGGTTTGAGGAACGAAGTAGATTTAACCTGTTAGTATTTATTCAGTATTGCTGAAAGTTGTGGAAGGGGGAGTAAAACTTGTCATTTTGTCTAGCTTTTGAGAGGAAGCATTTGCTGCTCACATTTTTTAGGTCTGTTCTGTATCATCTTACTTACCAAATTTGCAGCACCTTCTTTTGTGCTGCTGCTGAGTGGTGAATCTTTTTTACCTTTTTCTGTCATAAGTGAATACGTATTATCAGTTTACCCATTCTTCTATTTGAGCAGACTGTTTTCCTGGCCAAAACAGGAAAATTTGGGCTGTGTGTGTTTCAGTAGCCATTCAGTGTGGGACATCGATAGGCATCTCCATATGCTGAATAGATTTCAGTGCCTGGCAGGGAAGCCTTGTCGAATGTAGCAGCTCTGCTAGCTGTGCCAGCATAAGAGCTAGTAGATTATTAAATGCTTGTCTTAGAAAATTAGGAAAATATACTCAGTGCTCAAAGTAATAGGCTTCTGATGGGGGAGAGTTCTAAAATGCTGATCTCTGTTATTTTACTTAACCCTGTAGAATCTCAAAAGAGATAAGGGTATTTCATGGACTTGTTAGCAGAGTGTAACATAAGGCTTCTTGCTTCAAAAAATGAATATTGGGCTATTCACTTTTAAATGTCCTGCCTTCAAGCGGGTGGAAGACTAGTCAAACGGGTTGTACGAGCCTGGAAAGGGGGTTTCATTTATACAGACGTTATGGACCGGTTACGGATAAATGACTCTGTCAGGCTGGATCTTTGGCAAAAGGGAAGTAGTGTTAAATGTTATAGTTATTGAATAACCACGAGTCTGCTTCCTTGGTGTGCTAGATTTTTGTAGATAATTTTGTTTTATGGCTTTCTAAAAGTGATTTATGAGCTTTATGTGCACGCTACCAGTGAAATTCTTTTGATTTAAGTGGCAAAGGGCACACCCTGCCTTAAAAACAGGACAAGGAAATTTTAACAAAAGACTTTGAAAAATTCCTTCTCTTACGAAAAGTGCCAAAAGAACTTTAACCCATTACTTTAGAACTCAGAAGAAAAAGAAAGCAACTTTAGTGTTTGTAGCAGTGCAGTGGCAGTCGGTGCAGACAGGAAGCTGGAAAACAGTAAAAATAAAGCGTAATGTACTCAGCATTGGAGGTTGGAGGTGGAGTTAGGGGGATTCACTGCATGGAGGGGAATTTACAGCGGCTGCAAATAAAAGCCTGGCCCTTGCTTTGTGGTACACACTTCTTTCTAGTTTACTTCTCTGGCATCATGAGATTCAAAGTGCAGATATAAACCGAGGTTCTAATGTGGCTTGCTGAGAGATCCCATACCAGGTTAACCATTTCAAGTCCAAACTGACCACTGAATTTTAATCCGAATAACTGCAATATTTACCAGTTAGAAATGGATGTGATCCATCCTTTCTAAAGCTTTTCTTGGAAGTAAGGCCCATTAGAAAAGCTTATGGTCTCAGAAAGTAACAGAATATCCACAGAAAGTAAGTCTCTCCCCTTTTCAGTTTTACTTGTTGACATCAGGGATTGAATATTAGAAGGTGGAGTCATCTAAGAGTAAAGCTTGGCTTGCATATATAGTTGCTACTCAAGCAGGAGTTAAGTAATGTGGTGTTGCAGTATGAAAACTGACTTCCTGGACCTAAGTTGATAGGGTGAAAAAGCACCTACACTCTGTTGCAGCTCCAAGCAGCAGGATACGTAGCTCCCAACATGTTATTTCGAAAGGCTTCAAGTGTGGCACTGTGGATTCAGTGGGGTTTTCCATTTAAAGTTAGAGGATGTGTAGGCCCAGGTCAATTGAGAGAGATATTCCTTGGTTTTCTTTTTTTTTCCTTGCCCCCCTCTCCCTGCCCCCGGTGGTTGTTTGAAGGGAAGAACCTTTTAGGGAGGACCGGATGGGTTAAGCTTTGGAGTGTCTTGAGCTGTAATCATTAGCTGTCAGTGAAGGCAGTAAAGGAAAGAATGTTTATTTGCAGCTTTTTGCTTTGAGACTTTTGTACTCGTTCTTTTAAGAGTGCTGTAATTTTCACTATTTGCTTGGGTGGGGGGCTTCTGATGGCCTGAGGCGATACAAAGGATATTTTAATGATCATGGTACTTGGCTAGCACTCGGTTCCCAGGGTGGCTGTGATCTCAGAGTTGGAGAAAAATCACATTGAAAAACTGTCTTTAATTTTACAAGAAGTGGAAGCTCGTCAACTATTTAGGAGATTCTCTGATGCTTTTGAGTCTATATAAAAAACAGAATACATAAGATAAAAGGGAAATGAATCTGCTGCCCCTCTCCGGCTCTGAAAGCAAACAGGCAAATGACAAAGCAGAGCTCTGATAAATGTGATGGCATACCAGCTTTTGACTAAAGCCTACTTTTGCTAATATATTCAAGATCAATTTATTCTATGTTGTTCACTAGGAACAGCATTTTAGAAACAATTTTTAGGCCACATTTGGATTTCTATTCATCCTTCATTTATGTTTATTAGACTTTGAGGGACCCTCTACAGCTGCTGTTTTAACTCCAGCGTAAGCACACACATGCAGAGCTCACTAACGATTCAGTTAATGACAACGATTGTAGCAAAAAAGGAAAATGACAGTGCAGTGTATTTTGCAAGTACTTTTATTCTTTGTACCGTTCATCTGTTTTAGTAGACACCGAACCCTTTCAAGTGTGTGTTGATTCTTCAGGACTTTTCCAAGAGAGTACCTGAAGACCCTTGTGCTGGTAGCATGTTCTTGCTTGGTAATGGGAGACAATTCTATTGTATGTGTCTGCTTAGATGTCTGCCTTCCCCCGTTTGCATTTAGGGAGTTAGGACCCAAGACCTTGGTTCCCAGGTGAGCTTACAGTCCTGATTTTAATGTAAACCCGGTGTGGTTACCACGCTATTATTAGAGGTATAGTTTGTACAAGAAATGGCTTCTTTGGTGACGTTAGTATCCACCAAGCAAACAGCAGGAATCAGTGTGGTCTGAAGCCGTTTGATGCTTCAACCTATTTTCAGCAAATCTAATGGCTTGGGCTAGAAGCCTGCGGCGTCTGTTCCCATACAACAATGCAACTACACCAGGAAATCAAGCTGCTGGATATGAATTGTGGAAAGGACTGCTGTGCAGCTGCTTGATGTTGCGCATTGAATGAGGCATGTGGGATGCATTCATGTAAATACTGAATGTACTGTAAGGCTCTGTGGTTTGCCGGAGAGTCTCGTTTGCCACATTTTGAGTTTTCATCTTGAAATGCAGAATATAAGATAATACCAGGAAATGTCGTATCAATATTTGTAATACACAAGTAGTGTGCAATATTTGCAAATTTAGGGGAGGGGGGGGGGAGGAAAAAAAGGAAGAGATTTCTTCCATTCTGTACTGCAAATGCAGAGTGTTTGCTGTGCTTTTGCAGCAAGTGGAACAAAACCAGTGAGGCGCAGATGATCCCCAACATGCATACAAACCCTGGATTTCTTCAGTGAAAGTGCCCTTGGAAAGTTCAAAAGCCTAGAATATTTTCCCATTCAGCCCCTGCAATATGCATATTGAAAAGGATTTTACAAAACGAGTCATCCTTTTACCATTGCATTTAATCTTTTCTCGGTACCCGCGGAGATCCTGTGAGTTCAGAAGTTGTTCCTTCTCTAAATAAAGGATTATTCTTTTCTTAATATTGATACTTACAGTTCAGTTGCTTCCCAAAGGAGATAGGATCTGAATTTCAGTGAAAACAGTATAGTGGCTAAAGCCTGTGAGTCTGCTTTCTTAGGAAGACTTGAACATCTTTAAACAGACAATTGTCAGTCGGTATCCTTCTTCTGTGCGTTGCTTTTGCAGTGAAAAGCCATGCCTGAGTTCCTGATGAACAGTATGTTAACTTCAGGCACTTTAGGCAAAAATAGTTCAATTTCTAGCTCTCTGATCTCATGATGAAAAACTATGAATGCGACAATTTCTCAGTGATTTATTTGGGATTTTCAGGAGTGACTGTTTGAATCCTCTGACTTAGTGTGCTTGCCAAACTTCTTCCGTTTTCCCAAAGTCTTTTTTGTTTTTAGGAGGAGCCGAAAAAGGTTTGTTTCACATATGACCTGTTCTTAAATTTGGAGGGAAATCCACCTGTGAACCACCTTCGTTGTGAGAAACTGACTTTCAACAACCCCACCAAGGAATTCAGACGCAAGCTCATTAGGGCTGGAGGGGTAAGTGCCAAAGGGATTGGAGATTTTAAGAGGTTCTGCTAAAATGTGGAGTGATCTCGTTTTGCTCTGGGGTTTCTTTGTAGCTGCAGCCCAACACGCTGCGGTTTTCTGCGTTCATCTAGAGGATGACCCAGCCAATTTTTACTCCTGGTTGTATGACTGCAGCACTTGAAGCAGAACTAAACCATTGCTAGTGTGATTGGTGGCACTTCATTTTCAATTTAAATGTGACCATTAATATCAAAGCAGTAAAACCCCTCTGGAAATTGAGATCTTCTGTGGATGTTGCATGCGGTCCGTCAGGCTGTTAGTTGTCTGTGACCTTCTTAGTGTCATGAGTTGTTTCAGTATAGAAAAGCTTAAGAGAAGGGAGAGGCTTCCAGTCTATTCCTTACTCGTCTTTGCCACTGGAAGGCTTAGTACTTGGTGCTTCCTGGTCAATAAATGTCCTCTAAATCTGAAGTCGGCTGTTTATAGCTTAGATAATAAAAAAACCCGAGGAAAAATGTTAGCATATAGGCTGAAAATGGTTGTGGGAGGAAAACAAGAGATATACTCTTGAAGACACAATAAGATATGGGTTGCTACAGTGGATGAACTCTTCTGGGAAAGTAATATGCAGTGATAGACTAAAGAAATGATCCTCAAATAACTACAAGATCTAGGCAAATCAGTAAAAGCCACAAAATGCATGAAGTTTTTAACCAGACGGAGGTTGTTATGTCTGTATTTTGAGACACCCCCATATATAGTAATATATAATTATGTTCTGTTCAAGGACTTTATTCAAGATGGTCTTAATTCCTGGTAAAATTTTCTTCTGAAAAAAACATGTTTCTAGCCTGAAAAAGTAAAAAAGTTATGGGGAAGTTTGTTGATAGTAATCTTGGGAGTGGCAAGTATTCCAAGCTGATCGGTCCAGATTTTCCTTGATGTGCCAGTGTTTTTCTGTATTGGGCACAAAGAGGAAGGTGTTTCTTTCAGCTGTGGGATGGCTAGAACATTATTTGCTTTCTAGGATTTTCATAATTATTATATTCCTTATGTATTGAGGTGTTTCATCTGTGAATCACTTTTGATGCTGTTCATCTAGTGGAAATTTTCGTCAGGATTATTCTGACAGAATAGAGGGGAGGTAAGCAGGAAGGTGTTTCATGGAGCTTGGTGCTTGTCAAGGGAGAGACCCAAGGCCTACATTTTCTTTTTTTTTTTCCTGAATGAGTGAATTCAGCTTCTCTTAAATTGAAGTCTTGCTCATTCCTTGCAGATTTATCTTGCTACCCTTTTGCAGGATAAGAGCATTTGCAGCAGAACACACGGTTCTTGTCCAGAGCTTTATTGCCTGCTTGTGCTCGGAATATTGGCGTTCCCTTTGGGAAAGATACTTGATATTGCACATTGCCTTTTTTTTTTTTTTTGTGGTTTTAATGTTCTGTATTTGAGGAGTTGTCTTGAAACTGAGCATTACCTAGCCAATATCTTTTAATGGCCTTTAAGCAGGGGAAAAAACATTCAAAACATGAATAATAGTGTGTTAATTGAGCAAGTGACTTAACATAATCGTGTTTTAATAATCCATGCCACTATATATGTAATTTTTTTTTTTCTCTTTATTACTAGGTAATGGTAATGCCAGAAGGAGCAGAAACTGTTTCAAGGCCAAGTCCTGATTATCCTATGTTACCCACGATACCACTCTCTGCCTTCTCTGATCCTAAGAAGACCAAACCATCCCATGGGTCGAAGGTCAGTGAAGCATGCTTTTGTGTCATCCTGAGGTGAAGGCGACTTTCAGGACTTGGTACTAAGAGCCTGTTTAGCAGCTGCTTCTGGCTACTTCTAATTCTGCAACCTTCTTCCTTGTACTTGGTATTTCACTAGCTAATGGTCTGAAACTTACCGTAATTCAGGAGACCTTTTTATGATTTGCCAGACTTCTCTCCCAGGGAGTTTTAAACAGAAAATAAAATGTCCAAGACTGGGAATTTCTGGTGAACTGTATCCTCCTCCTGATCTGCTATGGCAGATAAAAGTTAAATGAAGTCCTCTCTGATTGTTCTGACTTGTATCCTTGATGCTGAGGATGAATTACGTGGATCTTTAACTGTCTGTCATGTAAAGCTGTACTTTAAGTCCTTGCATCTCTTAGCAGCGAGGCTGAGTAGAGAGTCAGCACTTCCTCTGTCATTAGGACTGCTTAGGGTAGTGGTGTAAAGAATATAAAATATGCTGCACTTAGTCAAACTAGTGATTTCAAGATTTGATGTTTGTGTCCAACAGTACCCAGTCTTGAGACTTCAGAAGAGCCTTAAGTTTTTTCTCTTTTTCCACTTAAGTGATGAAGCTATTTTTGTATAATTCTACATAGGAGAAACAATCCACAAGAAATGTGTTTTGAAGCAGATTACGTACACTTTGTCAGCCTGAGCAATCACAATTATTAACAGCAATTAATTTTATAGTGTAATTCAATTCTGATACCCATTTTCTTCAGGGCTCTAAACACTTCTGGTACTTCAGTCATGCTTTCTGATGTTGATGTCATGAGACAGAATAAAGATGGCTTAACTGTTAGTGGCTGATTTAATTCTGGTCAGGAATTAAGCATTAGAAAATGCAGAAGACAGAAGAAAATATTAAAGGGCTCTGACACAAGCTCTGGTGAAAATTGCCAGTAACTAGAGACAGTAGTCTCCTGCTTCTCTTCTTCCAGGTTGCCCTCAGAGGTTCATGTGTGTTTGCATCTCAGCATGTCCAGTCCATACTCCAGTTTCTCCCTGTAAGACCCACTTAAGTGTTTTGAGTTCACATATAATTTGCAGAGGGAAGTACTCCTTTGCCTTCATGTGTACCTCACTCTTAGGATGGGCAGGGTCCTAATGTTTGGTGTCTTAAAGCACTTACTAAAGGTGATAAAGTGCCTGCTGATATCAGAGACTTTGGCTCTCTTATGATTGTGGGGACATTCAGTATTTTTGTCAAGTTGGTGTGCTTGATATGGTGAGTCGGGTGCTAGGCTGCAAATATAACATGCATTTGCCATGGATGTGATTTAACCTTTAAAAAAATCTCTTTGGTTGCTTTTTTTTTTTTTTCCCCCCCCTAAAATGTGATATGAATTATAACTTTGTGTAACACAGCTAGAGTGAGTTTCCTCTTCGCTGGCTTTAGATATTAACCCTGCAGAGCTATAGACCTCCTTTTATAGATCATGGAAAGGAACAGGCATTTGTGAAATATGTTTCATCCTGTCCTAATGTAAATGTTTAAGTGCCTACTATCGCTTTCTGTACATCAGCTTTAAGGAAATCTAGATGTTTACTTCAGAGGTAGATAAGTACATTAGGCATCTGTGGGTGGGTATCTATGTGAAACAAATGCTACAATGTGATTTATGAGAACTTGTTTTATAATTCTGTGCAGAGCTTCCATTTCATACCTAGCTTGTGTGGTTTTGTTGCTGAATTTTAGGATGCAAACAAGGAAAGTAGCAAGGCATCCAAGCCACACAAAGTAACCAAGGAACACAGAGAGAGGCCAAGAAAAGACTCTGAGAGCAAAAACTCCTCCAAAGACCTTGAAAGAGAACAAAACAAGCCTTTGAAGGACTCCTCCAGAAAACCAACTGAGAACAAACTGCCTAAGGAGGAGAAGGCACCTCCAAAAGCTGCTTTCAAGGAACCAAAATTGGCCGTGAAGGAGACCAAACTGGAGAACACTTCTCCAAAGGGTGGGCCACAGCCGGAGTTAAAGTCTTCCAGCAAGAGGCCCTCGAATGTGGAGTCACCAAAGCCTAGTGCCAAAAAACAAAAAAAGAGTAGCTCCAAAGGGGTAAAGAATATCCTAGGGACATCTCCCAGAACCTCGTCTTCCTCATATCCAGAGAAGAAACAAACCAAGGAGAAGATGAATGCCAAAGTGGAAAAGGTAAAATCTGAGAGTGAGGCCAAGGAGATCAAAAAGCCGGTGGAAATGGAGGAGTCGAATTCAGAGGATGAAACTTCTTTCAAGTCAGAGGTGAGTAGGGATTTGTCCTTCACCTGAATTTCTAAGCATGCTGTTTAATTCCCTGCATGAAAAAGATCTTCAAAAATACCCCTCAGACAAGATAGAGAACCAGATTGGCAAATGCTTAGGCTGGGTTGTATCTTAAATACAACTCTTTGAAAATCCTATCAGTATTAATCGTTCCTGCTACCTGGTTTGCCTCCTGTTTCAGATATGCAGTTCTATTTAGATTTATCTGCAGGCGGAGTTATCTAAAAGTCAGAGTTTAAGGTTATGGTCTCTCGTTCGTCCCTTGCAGTGACATTTATAGAGCTAGAGAATAGTAGACGTCTGTGCACTTTTTACCTGCTTACGATAACATAATGTTTTTTGAACATGGTCTTAATTCAGAAAAGGAGGAAATAATTTTAGTTTTGTTTCTGAAAAAAAAAAAAGTATTAAAATATAAATAAAAAACCTTAGCCTGTAAGTAATGTGCTGTTCGCTAAAGCCAAAATACAACCACATGCCACTAAACCTAAATAAGTAGTGTTGTAAAACATAAAACAAATTATGTTATTGTGCTACTGTTTTTTAAAAGCTAAATATTTTTTCCTTTTTACAACTAAGAACATACCTCATCCTCTGTCTTCTAAAAATCATTTTCCAAAAGAAGGCCAAAAAAAAAAAGAGTAAGACACAAGTTAAATCCAAACTCTTGCTACATTTTGCTTGTATATTTTGTATTTGCAATAGAGAGTCCATATATCTTCTAACTTAGGATTCACAGGATAATGTCATATGGATTTTTACTGCTTTTAGAAAGATTTGTTTGACTAGAACAAATCTTCTAGGAACAATTCATATTACGATTTAATCAGCATCATGATACAGTGAGTATCGATGTGTTTATTTCAGAAAGGATTTTTTTTTTTTGCAAAGGATTCCCAGTAGGAGAGGTTGTCGGGGAAGTGTTAATTCCAGTTACACTGCAAAGATTTTATTTCCAGATTGATTAAAGGTGTAGCTTGTGCACTAAAAAGAGGCAGCTCCTCTCCACGTTTAGCCTTACACCTGAAGTGCCTCCGTGCAGAGCAAGCCCGTCATCTCTGTACCAGATACCCGGCCCTGGCTGCGAGCTTCTGTGCGCTGCTGATCTCTGTTAAGTCCCAAGTGTCTTGTGCTTTGTTATTTCTTAGGTGTCATCCATCCGCTTGGGACTCGCCGTGCAGCTGTAAGCCGATAGTGCTGTTTAGAATGTTCCATGAAACCACAAACTGTGGTTGTGGGTCCACAGAGTCTGCTGCAGTCCTGTCCTGCCCCCACCAAGCTTTCTATGCTTCTGTGTCCTCTCTTGCACCAGCTCTTGTGTCTTTTGGATGCTTGACAGAGGTATTTGAGTGCTAGCCCAGAAGGAGGGTAGGAATACTCAGTGTGATGGAGGGGGAACTGTGGCAGCTGCCAGTCAGATCAGCTTAGGTTTCCGTGGAACTTGAAGCTTACGGGTACAACTGCATAATGCATTGGCATCGGCAGAGAAGGCTGTTTGAGTTCCTTTTCCACCCTGGGGGGTTATTTTTGCTCCCAGAGCTGCAGTTTGCCACTCCATCGTTTGTACTGGTACAGCTGTTTGTGGGTCTGTGTGGTAAGCCACATCACTAAAGTGAATGAGCAGCTGGAAGTGGACCCAGGCCCGGAAACTCTTAAATCAGCTTTGCTGCTGCAGCCAATGTATTGTGCAACATGCTCTGAGGCTGCAACTCCACGACTGCTTTGGGTTGACATCTTTGCAGGCTGCTGTTGAAAGGAACAGTCTTGCTCTCATTTGTGCTGCTGGCACGAGAGCTCGTGTGACTTTGCAATGGGCCAGAGGGTTTTCTCCTTCCATTTCAGCTTCTGCTGAAAGTTAGTTGTCCTTTTTTTTTCTTTTCTTTTTTTTTTCTTCTCCTTCCCTTTCTTATTTTTTTTTTTCTTCCCCCCATCAAGCCCAGTTCCCTGAACTGGCCTCATGCTTGGCTGCCTAAATGCTAGTGCTGACAAAAGGGAGAGGCTGAGATGTGAGGGCAGGATTGCTTTTTTCCATTGTCGGCATGTGCTTTTGTCATATCACAGTGACAGTAACTGCAGCCTGAGCATGCAGAGCATGTCCAGCTGGATGCCTCCTGAACCTCCTGCATGGTTGAAATAGCTGATAGGGTTAATGGCAAAGGGAGAGACGGGGGTCTGCACATCTTCCAACTTGCTCTCCTTAGGTCCTATTAAGTAATTTTAAGGGAACACTTGCTGGATTATCAGGAATGAAGGGTGTTAGGATGGAGTCTGAGGGTAAGGCTAAGAGCTGTGCTCCCTTATCTTGAAAATATTGCTCTTTACTTTCATGTTGTAATTTCATGAAACAAATAGGGCTGCGGCAGTGTGCCAGTATATTAGTTATTGGGATTGTTAAATTATGCTTCTTTGCTACTGAATAATTCAGAAGGGTTCTAATACCCCTTTCTGACACTTTACCTTCTTACAGTTGAATAAATGAAACTCTTAACAATACTTGGGCGATAAATTATAGGGAAGGATGGTTGAGGTGAAAGTCCTGCCGTCGCTTTCACTTATTAATGCCCAAAGCTGCTGATTTGCATCTTTCTACCCGTTTACAACGTTTTTGTAGTATTAACAGTTTCTGTAATAAAGTTTATTGATCATTGAGACTGTGAGATTTTTTTGTAGCATCAAGATTTGGTAGTGGAAGTAATAGATGGATTCCCAGGAATGATGCAATGGAATCGAAATGCTAAATTTCCAGGGAATTACTTTAAAAAAGTCAAGATAATATTACAGTACATAGTAGGATCTAGTTTAATGATTCTCAGAGTAACAAAAACCCCTTTAAGGTTATTGTAATAGTCACTGCTGCTATTAGGGAGGAAATGGTTGATTTAGCCTTCACTGCCACCCCGTGGTCCTTTAAGCTAAAACATGGGATTGCTGTACAGTATCTGGTTTTATGTTAAAAACATATGTAGCACTAAAACGTTGTTTCTGGATGCTGTTATTAGCAGTAGTTCACTATATTTTTTTATTCATCCTTACTGCATAGTGTGCTTCTGGCATTTCTGCTGAATACTGACAGTCAGTGGAGTTGGTTTCACTAGAGTTTAGCTGGTTTCTGTTATGTTTTCACAGTGAACTAGAAACAGTACAGTGGCTTGCTCAAATTGGTGTAGAAGCAACTGTTTTGAGGGTATAGTAATAAATTAGAGCTAATTTTGGAGTCAGGTAAGCTGGGAAGGATAGGCATCTTTTCCGTGTTTAATGATCAGTATGAGGTGTTCAGAGGGAATGTTGGCAGGTTACAATAAATACGCTTTTTAAGAGTGCTTTGATAATTGTTCTAGGTTGTATGCTAGTCATCTTTCACATTTCAAAATAAAGGGTTTTTCACTTTGACATTTTTCGAATGCTCGATTTCATCGCTTGAGACTGTTGGACACTAGTAGCGTGAAGAGTTTTGGTGGGAGCAGCTGCTGCTGCTGCCCAGGAGTGCTGAGCTACAGCGTGCCAGAGTTTTCGTCGATGTTGTTTTTATTCACCTTGCATTTTGCATATTTTCTGTAATTCCAAGAACTGCATTCAGTGATGTATGATGTTACAGAGTGCTCAGATGCTTCCGTCTCACTGTGCTTTGTGCTGGTTTTCTGGATTAGAAAGGTTAAGATTCTTTTTCTTTTTTTTTCCCTTTTATGGGGGGTTAAGTCTGTCCAGTCCAGCCCTTCCAACTCCAGTTCCAGCTCCGACTCCAGCTCTGACTCTGATTTCGAGCCATCTCAGAACCACAGTCAAGGTGTGTTGCAAGAAATGAAATTTGTTAAAATCTTCCTTCCATAATTTCAAAAGGCGCATGAGAATTAGATCCATTTTCCCAGCACCTTATATAAGAGTAATGTGGTTTCTTGTATGCAACCATGTGTCGAAGCCGTGATGCTTCAGCAAGAAAAGGCAATGATGTTACAGCGTAATCATGAACAAGTATTTTTCTTGTTCTGGCAATTAATTTATGAGGAAGGTATCTCTGGATTTGGTTCTTTCCCTGTTGACTTTAGTTTCTGCCTCGGTTTATGAATGTGTTTACTGCTGCTTGATCTGTAGTGTCACCTGAATATTTCTGCTCTAGTCCTCATATATGTTCTATTAAAAATTATAAATGTGACATTCGTCACTTTGCCGGTGCATAGTATAGCTTCTTTTTTGGATTCCTCCATTGATAATCCAAAGATATACACGGTGGCAATCGTAAACGTTCTAATGTTAGCAAATGCTGTGTTGCTACAAATACTGTCTCTTGGGTGACATTTAAAATAGTCCCCAAACACGTGAAAAACGTATCCTTTTGTCTTCATTTCAGGAGAGTAGGAGGATTTGGGGGGAAGCTTGGGTGGCTTTATGGCAGTTGTAAAGTTTATCAACTCCGCTTTAGTTTTGAGACTGGAATGCTGTGTCTTTTAGCAATATCTTTGTGCAACATGAACAGACCAGTGACATCTTATTGACAAATCTTGATGCATCTTAATAACAACTAACCCAGTTTAGGTCAGACAGCTCGGATGGAGCTCTGCTGCACGTGTCTGAGTGTTGAACTGCTTTCTCCCCTCTGATCCCAGGCCCGCTGCGCTCCATGGTGGAAGATCTGCAGTCAGAGGAGTCAGATGATGATGACAGCTCCTCTGGAGAAGAGGCAGCAGTCAAAGCAAACCCAGTCAGCCGGGATTCCAGGTGGTAACAAATCAGGAAGAAAGATGTTTGTTGTCTCTTCACCCTCCGTGTTTGGTATTTTTGCGTGCCCTCCATTCAGAGGGAGGAATCAAAAGTGATGGGGCTGTGCACGCGAGGAAGGTGTGAGAGGAGGAAAGGGCAGATGTGTGGAGTACTTAGCATGGCGTGGGGACACAGTCGATGTAAACAGCAGGGTGAGAACAGAATTGGATGAGGAGAGAACACTGGAGCTCAAAGGGAAAGCCACTGGGAAGCGGTCTGTGTTGAGTTTGCAGGTGTTAGTGACTGAGCCCCTTAAAATAGTCACCTAATTGTCATCTTCTGATCTCTGCTGAGCTGAATGGTGTGTGACACCTTTGATCTGCAGAGATTAGAGAAGTGTTTTAGAGGCTGTCGGCATGTGTGCTCTTCTTACTGCACAGGACTGATACAAAACGGAGAAGTTTTAGTCTTTGCCGATAGTTGGTGCTGACAGCTGGTTACTTGACTCCTATGGGACTTGGTTAACAGCTGTTTCCTGCTTTAGTCAATGGAAATGGTTGAATTTCATCCTTCTCCCCTCAGGAAATGCTGCTGTAGCCAAACCCTGGAGTCTCAGGCTGAATATTTGAAACCAAATGCTTGGTCCAGATAGCAGCTGCAGATTTCAAATGATGCTTGTGTTCACCAAAACCAAGCAAACAGAAAATCTGTTGTTGCACTCTGTCATTATCAACAGGAACAGAGAGACTTTGAAGGATGTTTTTTAGACCTTTAGGGGAAAGGTAATACACAGTTTTCCAAGCTCATGGAAAGGAGGATGCCTACTACAATACATCCGTAGGGCCACAAGAAGAATGAAGATAAATAGGAAATCTCAAAGGTCCCAACAGAAACACCAAATGCAGGTTTTTTGCCTGTTCTCAGTGGAGATGTTGGAAAGCCTCTCATGCAGGGACTCGGTGATCTTTGAGTGAATCCCCAAAATGAACAGTTACTGTTTGTGAAAATTAGGTGGTACTTGACTCAACTGTTCTAAGGGGGCTTGTGTATGAAAGAGTTGAACTGCTAGCTGCAGTGTGTAAACTAAAACTCCTTACTCTGCCTGCCCTGGGAATGGAAGATGGCAAAGGTGGCATTGGCTGGGAAAGAAGGGGTTCTTGGAAATTAGACCGACCGTTTCTTCCGGACGATTTAGTAGTCTATATTAAAGAAGAGAATTTCACTTGACTCTGTGGTTCAGCTGACAGCTAAGTAAATTTCCTGTTACCTGGTGATGCTAATTCTCTGCTGCTTGTTTTTCAGACTGAGCCTTAGTGACAGTGACAGTGATAACAGTGCAGATTCCTGCCTGCCAAGTCGAGAGCCACCTCCTGGTCAGAAACTGCCCCCAGCAAATAATAAGGTATTGCATCCCTCACGCCCATACAGTGCTGCTTTCTACACTCTTGGTTCCTGCGTTGTGTTCAGCCCATGGTGTAAGTTCTGACTTGTACCAAACTGTCCCTATTTCACTGTCTTCATCAGACAGGTAATTTGTCTCTGTTCAGTGCTGGGCATCCAAGCCATTAAACCACTGTGTTGTCTGAATTTATTTTGGGACCTAAAGTTGATGTCTTTTACCCTCAGGCGTCGGGACGAAAAAGCCCAGAGTCTTGTAATAAGCCAGAGAAGATCCTGAAGAAGGGAACATATGACAAGGTATGTTTGAGGTTTTGCATATTATAGAACCGTTGGATCCTCACGAGCATTTCTGTGTAGAAAACAACTTGAATCAGCCTAGCCTGTTCACATTGTTCTGTCTCAGCAGGTTAAAAGCTTGAGTACAATGAAAAACAGATGTTGAAAGGACAGACTTTGGAGAGTGACACTGCAGAAATGGTGTATATTAAATAGATGGACCCCCAGGTCATTTCCATATGCAAAATGTTAAAATTGTTTTATTTGTTTGCCCTTGGTCTGAACCAGTGATCTGGCTGCTACTGCAGTGGCGAGTGCCTCTTCATTAAAAGGCAGTTTTCCTCTGTCTTTGATCTTACAAGTTAAAGATTGTTTGATGCTCTGCTTTGCTGGTTTGGTTGAAACCTTTGTTCTATGAAATTCCCTTCTTTCTTGCCTCCAGGGAAAGCAGAGCAGTGTTATGTGCTCCTAAAGCACCGTAACTCGCAAGCAAGTAGCCAAACCCCGGCTTGTCCAGAAAGTTCTTCTACTGTGATTTTTTTTTTTTTTTTTCCCCATGAAGAATTCAATCAAATGGGAGCTTAAAACTTTTCCTTAGTCTAATCGTTGAGGTCCTTCCAGTGATCGGAGAATCAGTCTGTAGCTCTCACTTGTGTGTTAACACTTTTTCAACAGGAGAGTACAGCACAGGTTAATCTCTTAATGTTAGGTGTAAATGTGATCTTGGAGATACTTCCACCTGAGTCTCCTGCTAGCTACAAAATCTTCCACTGTTAACCGTAGCTGAGGTGGTTTATCTGGGACAAGGTTTGTAGGTAATAGTATCGTTTATTAGTCTACATAATACAGATAGGAGGGGACACTCTTGAGACCCACCGAAGAGAGTGCCTGAAATGCCATCAGCTTTTCCGGTGATATGAGGTTTTAATAAAGACACGAGGTCCTCCCGGCAAGTGTAGCATTCAGTACTGTTTGGGTGTTTTGGGAAAAATGCTTTTCTCTGTATGAATGTGCTGGGGAGGGATATATTACACAAATTTGGGAGGGGGGAGGTTTTTATTTTGTTCTGTTTTGGTTTTTTTTTGCCTTGGTACAATTACCTAAATGAGTTCAGTTTTGCTGATGCAGATGCAAACAACTCTGGGACAGCTTTAGAGATTAAGAATCTATCCCCTGTGAGCAATAGTGTGCCAACAGAAACTTGCCTTGTTGTCTGCCTAAATTAAAAAACACAATAACACTACCACCAACAAAAAAGTAACATTAAAAAAAAAAACCAAACCCCAAACCACCCTTATATAGGAACAGTTAACATGCTGAGCTTGTAAACCATCCTGCATTTCCCATTGCAGCATGTGTAAAACTACCTTGGGGTTACAGTGCACCCAAAGAATTTTTCCTTACCTAAACACAAATCATTGTTCAGCAGATTGCTGGGGTGTCGGTCACTGGCGCAGGTGTTTTCAGGTAGTGAGTAGTTCATTAGCACAACCCCGTTGATGAAGAAATCTCACTGCAGTTCGCCAAGGTGAACTTCACCTTGGCGAGGTCCCCTAAGCTCAAAGATTTTGACCCCATCTTAAAGCTGGTTACAGGTGTTTTGTTTAATGGTGTCATTAACTAGTCTTGCTGATGGCCTTCAGAGCATCCGTGTTTATGTGAAGTCGTTAGTCTCCCAGTACTGGATAAGGATGGAGGAGGTAGTGAAAATGCAGGGGAAAAATTGGGAATAGGAACGTGTCTGAAAGGCTTCAAGTTCCTCTGATCCTCACTAGGAAAGTCACTTTGGCAGCTGTCCCAGCGTGCCACGTGTGTCACTGTTTCTGTTCGTGCCTCCTTTACAGGCCTACACTGATGAATTAGTGGAGCTTCACAGGAGACTGATGGCACTACGAGAGCGCAACGTGCTGCAGCAGGTAGAGATCATCTGTCAGCGTGCTGGCCAGCTGGTGCGCTCTGGTAACCGTTGTGTCCGAGGGTCTCAGCCAGGCCCCTGTGGTGCTTGACCTTTCACTCGCCTGTCCTTTGTGAGAAGGTCAGGTTCACTTTGCAAGCAAAGAGAGGCAGGGAAAAAAAAAAAAAAAAACACAAAAAAAACCCCAAAAACACCAAACAAACAAACAAAAACAAAACAAACAAAACCAAAAACCACCAAACAAACAACAAAAACAACACAACAAACCAACCCAAAACAAAAATCAGATGTGCATGCAATGTTTTTGTTGGAAAAGATGCAGAAATGTGGTTTGTGCATCTTTCCTCTGCCATCCCGGTAGCGGCCCCAAAGCTGGGCTCTCAGATTAATTTGAAAGGAAAGAAACGTGCCCCACACCACCTCCCAGACCGAGCTAGTCAGGCGCGCAGGAGGTGGTTTTGCTTTTTTTGGGAGAGATCTTTGCGAGACGTTCTCACCTCTGTGGCTGTTGTAAAGGGATCAGAAGAGGGCTGGATGGGTTGCTCTGTGCCCGCTGGGCCTTCCTGCTGTACTTAATCTTGAGGGGGGTCTCTGTATACATCCTTGCTTGTCTCCTTTCTGTACAGATTGTAAATCTCATTGAGGAAACCGGGCATTTTAATGTTACCAACACAACCTTTGACTTTGACCTCTTCTCCTTGGATGAGACGACCGTCCGTAAGCTGCAGAGCTACTTGGAAGCGGTAGCGACATGACGCTTGGCCTTAGAAGCAGGCTGCTTTTGAAACCAGAAATCCCCTTTATTGGTACCAGGAAACGAACCCATGGAACTAGGCCTTCTTACTCTCTTGATTCACCCGAAGCACTGCCTTAGAGAACAGCCATGCTCTATGAATGCACAGCCAGCTGCACTTTCTTGTAGGCTTCAAACAAGCACCCGTCTTGCTGAGTCTGTCCTCCCTAGCTTCGTAAGTCCGCTCGGGCGCAGGTCCCGAGTAGAGCAAAAGATGTGCTGCACTTAAGCTGCACAGCGTGACCTTTTTCGGTTTTACTTCAAGAAACTGTGTTTTAAGAGCACATTTTCAGGTGTCTCTGAGATCTGAAGAAGCGCGGACGATGTTTTTCTTCACCAAATCTAGGGACCAAGCCTGCCTGCAGAGAGCTCTAGCGCGTCCCGTTCCCTCCAGCTCTGTGAAGAAGCGTTCCTGCTGTGTAAGTACGATTGGCTTTTACAAAGCCAGCCGAGAGCCTGATGACAGAGGAGGCTGCCCAGGGGTCCTGCTGGTCGTCTGCAGGGGAAAGTGGACAGATCCCAGTTTTGATCACTCGCGGTTCGGGACAGAGCACTGCTGTAATTTGGCTCCCGATTCCTCCAGGGCGTCGTTGCGCGCGCAGGACCTTCAGCTTCCTGCAGGGACAGTTCGTGCTCTTTGAAGAGGCCTCTAGAATCTGCTGTCTCCCGCTGGGGTTTTGAGATGTCTTGTTTGTTGATCTGAGCTCCTAAACAAAGTCTCACTCCTTTCAGTCTGCTTTAACTGTAATAGGACTACAAAACTGTAAGCTGTATATTTTATATATATATTATATATATGTATGTACTGTATGTATAAGAAGGGCCTAGTTGGGTCTTATGATCTTAAGGGTGTGTTTTTCTGTTTTGTTTTTTAATGGCTATGGCAGGGGAAGGGCGCTTAATAAGATTTGACTTTGGTTGTTCAAATGCCTCTCGTGGACAATTTTGAGTGTATGAAAGCTGAACAGCAATCTTCAAAGCATTTTGTGCTCTGGAAGGGGCTCACCTGTTGTCTTTTCATTTTGTCAGTGTTTAAAAACTTTGCCAAAATACGTGGTTGGTTTTGTTCTATGTTCTCAAAGAGGAATCTCCTACAGTGGCCCCTATAGTAGTGGCTGTACTTTGGGAAAACCAAAACAAGGGAGAATTTTATCTTTGGACACACCTGGAAAACACTGATGTAAAAAACCAAGCGGTCAGGTTTGTTTCCTCCTCCCTCTCCCGCCCCGCTGCCCGTTCAAGAAATGGCAGGAAACAGTAAACACTAATGCAGAATCTTTCATATATTTCTAGTTAAACTAGTATTGACTTCCACGTGTTGTCTCGGTGGGTGTGGGGAAAATCCTGTAGCTTTCATCAAAACTGTATTACACTCCTGTTCCCTGATTTCAGTATTTTTTTTTTTTATTATTATTATTATTATTATCTTTGGAAGAATTGTTCATTTTTTTTTTTTTTTTTTTTCCCAATCAGTGTGTAAGCTTTTGCCAAATGTTAAGTGGGCTGCAGGCAGCGAGGAGGAGCGCAGCGGTGCCGAGGAGCCCCCCGCTCACGAGCGGACCCTCGTGGACCTGCGACAGCCCCGCGTGGGAGCCGGGGGGTGGCATCTCTCCAGGGTTTGCTGTCCCTTCATTATGAAATTGCAGTCCCTTGTTTTGGGTTTACCCCTTTCTTTATCATGGAAATGTTGCAACTAATCAACTTAAGTGGCAATATGATGATAAGCTTGTTTGAGTTGGGTCATGTTGACCCGATTCCCGTTAATTTTTGTCTTTGTACCATCTTTCATGTGTTGTGTGTGTGTGTGTGTGTGTGTGTGTGTATATAAAAAAAAAATCAAGCTCATGCCAGGTGCAAACCCTGTCACGACAGTGATCTCAGCTGTTTTCTTTCTTGATGGACAATGCCAAGCCTGGATAGAAACCCTGTGCGCAGACGTACGCCGCGGAGGTGGAGGACCGTGGGAAGAGGAGGAGGAGGAAGAGGAGGAAGAGGAGGAGGAGGAGATGCCGTTCCCTCTCGGCGGGCAGCCGGGGACGCGGACGGCGGGCGCAGCCCACGGGCGGTGGCGGCCTGGCCGCTGGGCCGGGGTGGGCGCGTGTGAGCTCCGGGCTCCTCGTGGGCTCCGGGGCGGCCCCTGGCAGGGGTGGCCTTGGCCTTGGCCTTGGCCTTGGCAGGGGCGGCCCCGTCCCCGCAGCGGGGGCCGCCAGCCTGAGCCGGGGAGCGCCCAGGCCTCTGCCTCCCCCCCCCCCCCAGGCCCGGGCAGCGGAGGGGCCGCTTCCCTCCTGCCCCCTTCTCCCCGTAAGATCCGATGGTCTCGCTGCCCCCGGCCAGGCCCAGCGCGTGGGCGGCTGTTCCTGAACTCGGCTGGAAGTTCCCCAGGGGCTCCCGCCCGCGGCTGTGACATCGTCCCGTCCTGGAACTGACTTTATTCGTGATGTCTAATGAGCGTTGATAGGGATTTTGTTTGGTTTTTATAAGAAGTATTTTACACATGGATTTTTTTAGACTGTTTATAATCTCCTTGAAAAACCTGAACTAGGATTGTTCCCCCAGCAATAGTTCTTTTCCATTGTGTGCACATGCTGATTTGTTACTAAAAGGTTTCTTGCAAGTACTTAGTTGTTCTACAGAGTTGTTGTTTTTTGGGGTATGTGGTAGCGTCGGGGACCGCAGGAGGAATGACTCTGCAAACAAAGAATGGTCAAATTTGGGCCTCATCTTGTGTCCCCTTCTAGTTACATATGAACGAGTTCCCTGTGTAGATTCTCTATAGGCTGGCTGAATGCTGTTCTGAACATGCCGTGTACAGGTATTTGTGGATAAAGTGTTTGTTCTTGTGTCACTCTTGAGAGCATGGATGGATTATTGTACTATAGGAAGGAGGTGGCAGTGCTGCTGTCAGCATTGCTTCAGGTCTTCGAGGATGTGTAGTAGCTTGCGTTGTTAAAAAAAAAAACAAAAAAAAAAAAAAGGAAAAAAAAAACACAAAAAAAAAAATCTCCAAAATTGACTTGTAGCCATAATGGTTTTTCCAAGGAAGATGGACAGAACTCTGTTACTTTGCAGTGTCCTTCGTCGTGTTGCTGAAGGCACGAACAAGTGCTGATCGGTCTGGAGGCTTTCAGAGTTGCTTTGAATTGAATCGTGTTGGAGGTAAGATCAGGACACGGCTTTTCCTTTGTCCTTGGCCTTCGTATCAAAGGGCAAAAGAGGGGTCAGGAGCATTTTACCTGTTGTCTTGGTCTGCGTACGTATTAAGCCTTGAGGCTTTGATTACTGACATTTACTATTAAAAAAAAAAAAAAAAAAAAAAAAAGAGAGTAAGGCTGAGCTGGATCCCAAAACGCCAGCTGAGGAATATTGGACACGTAGGTAACGGGGCTGGCTGTGCCGTGGTCAGGCTGAATACATGGAAGTGCAATGATTTTTGCCACCAGTTCTTCCCGTGCTGTGTGCGGTGGTAGCATCAGAACTAGCAAAGCGATTGACGCAACAATCCAGCAGCAGTTTTTGTCAGCTCTTGACCGTATTTGATGGTGAGAGAGGTTTCACCTCCCCTCGCGCGGAGCTTGCCCTGTCCCGTCCTCTGCAAGCAGAGCCCCCCCCCCCCCCCCCCCCCCCCCCCCGCGTCCCTCTGGTTCCGCCGATTCCCGCGCTCACCTCGGCGAAGGCACCGGAGCGCGGTCGGTGCACTCGGCCGAAGCTTCTCTCCCCCAGCCCAGGTGCCCGGCCCGCGCTCGTGGCGACGCTGGAGACCAACCGGTGCGCACCCTGCACCAGGGTTACTTCTAAAAAGACGCAAAATCGATCGGTGTTGCTTCCCTGGGGGCGGGGAAATAGCCATCAAAAACTGACAAGATGAGTTTGCACTCCTAAAGAAAAAAAATGTAAGTACTTCAACTTCTAGATAATTTTTAATTGTATTTCTGCCTAGAGCCGAGGTATTAAATACCTTGTCACTTGAGGATTTTAAAAGTTGTGTTGGGAAATGAATTCTTCACTCAGCTGTAAGAAATTCAGCTGGCCCAAGACTAACTTCAAGATTAAAAAAAAAAAAAAAAAAAAAAAAAAAATCATGTTTGTAATACGTTACAGGATTGTTTGTCCTGAATTTTAAACTTTTTGTTAAATTTGTGGAACTATGGAGGAATTTTCTAGAAAAAGTGAAATAAAGTAAGATGGAAAAGTAAAACTTTAAGGGTTTTTTTGTTTGTTGTATTGCTTCTCCATGGCTGGCACCCAGGGTTTCCTGAAGCGCCTCCTTCCTGAAAATGTTTTCCAGCAGAACTAGGGAAGCCGGGGCTGCTCAGCAGCTCGGGGCCGGGCCGGGAGGGGAGGAGGAAGCGGCGCGGGGGGCAGCTCTGCTGTTGGTGCAGGGGAGATTTAACTTGGTGCTTTAAATCTGTTGCTGCAGCAGCTTCGCCTTTGGGGTCCCTGCAGCTGCCGGGAGCGGGAGGAGGGTTCCCAGCTTGGCCTGGGGCAGGTGCTTCCCCCCCCCCCTCCATCCCCGGGGGTTTGAAGAGTGGCCCCCACTGCTCCCAAAACAGATCGGGACTTTCCCCAATCCCGGTGAGACAGAGCTCTGGCCCAGGCTTGGGTTGCAGCCAGGAGTTGATTCCCCTGCCCCAGGGTTTCGCACCCCCAGTGTCCCCCCCCCGCAGCTGCTCAGGGCCCGGGAACAGCCTCTCCCTGCGCTCGGGCAACTTAACCTTTTTGCCTTGGCTGCTGGCCTCAACCCAGAGTTGAGCATTAGTCTGCAGAAATTAGTGAAGCATTAAGAGACACAAACAACAGCCTTTATTTCCTCCAAACCTTGGAGCCATTTCAAACTCAGGCAGCTGAGAACACAACTGTTTGCAGGGGAGCAGCAGCAGTTACAATAGTGCATTTACCCAGGAGTACGTGTGCACGTGGAAGTTCCCGGAGCCCAGAGCAGGTACCAAGTTCAGGTTTGAACCCTGCCTGAGGTGCCCCGGCCCAGGCACCGTCACTGCCCCTCGGGGTATTTACTGACACCACTTCCCTCAGCAGCCCCAAAGAGCAGGGCTCTGCCCCTGGCGCTCAGGTAATGAGTTCTAGTTTGCAATAAGCCATTTTACAAGCTAATCCTTCATCGGCTGGTGGGATTCACAGGCTCTCCAGGCAGGACTGAGCCTTGCAGAACCATTTAGAAGAAACATTCAGGAGCTCCAGCTGGCAGGTGCCTTCCCCCAGCTTTGGCAAAGGTGATCCTCAGGCTCTTGTGCTGCCCAAGGGGCTGATCCCAGACCTTCAAAACAATCAGCCTTCCAGCAACCAGGTTCCCAACACTTCGTACAAAGCCTCAGCCCCCCGCCCCCTTGCAGGACACAGTGGCCAGCAGTTCCATCAGGCAACAGCCACCCCCTTGCATAAACCACTTCAGGACCCAAGCCAGGTATGCTATTTTACCAATACAATTTATGGCTTCATTATAACTCAGGAAGATAGGCCAGCCTCAAAATATTGCACAGACAAACGGGAGGTTCTATGTCCACAGCGAGCCAGTGTGTGCAGTCACAGAGCGTTCATCATCCTCGGGAGAAGGCAGTTTGTGGGTAAAGAGATTTAAAATAATTCAGATGTCACCAGCATGCAGTTACACATGCATCAGGGGGGAGGGAAGTATGTTGCTATAAAAAGAAACCTGCCTTTCTCCCTCAGCAGGAAAATTGCAGTTCCTGATTGTTTTACATTCAGCTCAGAAAAAGAAAACTTTGGTTAAAACGTAACATGTAATATGGATTTAAGGTAAACATTGCATCGCCCTTATAAAAATGGAAAGACCAAAACTACAAAGCAGAGATATTGAGGAATATCTCAGCATTAGAACGTAGCCACAGGGCACAAACACCTCACCACACTGCAGGACGAGGGCCAGGAAAACGTATAGTTAAGGGATCGGGAAGGGCTGCGCGCTGGCCGAGCCTCATTTATTTCCAGAGCAGGCGGGAAGCCCAGGCTGGCAGGAGGGGAATCAGCACCCGCAGGCTCCGCGCTACGGCCGGGGCGCGCTGGCAGCCGTGGAGGGTGTATCCACCTCCCTGTAAAACTGAGCGATTTGGTCTTTGTACTTTTGGGCCACCGCTGGTCTCTTCAGCTTCATGGTGGGGCCTGCGGAGAAAGCACAGCACAAGGTTTACGAGACACAGATCGTAGCAGAGCGAAGCAAGCCCGACTGAAGATTCGGGACGCGTGAGCAGACACTGACTTTTAAATTTCTCTTTGTGAATAACAAAGTCTCCCCCCTTCCTTCCCCTGGGAACAGAACCAGCACAGCCAGCCCGTGAGAGACAACGCCGCTCGGCTCAGCTCTGCCAGGATTTCATCCCAGCCTCCCCCAAACTAGGACACGGAGGGGCCGGGGTAGCTCCTGGTTGTGTTTTCTGTTCGATACCCGAGGAAGGGGGGGGACGGGGTGACCCCAGATGCCCCAGCCAGCGCTCACCAAGCTCGCCGCCAAAGACAGAGAAGTCCTTCTCCAGCAGGACCCACTTCTGGATTTTCTGGGCGTTGGAGACAGCGCCCTCGTTGACGGCCGAAATTCCCTTCTGGATGGCCGCGTACACGGCCTTGTCTTTGCTGATGATGATTTCGGAGGCTTTCGTCGCCTTGCTGCCCAGCCTCTGACAGTATTCAACAGCTTCCGGAGTGAGCTGGTCCGTGGGCTCGCCCGTCCCGCCATCCAGGTCGCACTGGAAGGCACGGCCGGGCAGGTCACGCAGGGAGGAGCCCCGGGAAGCCGCCCCCCGGGGAGCTGCCCCCCTCTCCCTCCCCCCCCCACCCCGGGGAGCTGCCCCCCTCTCCCTCCCCCCCCCCCCCCCGGGAAGCTGCCCCCCTCTCCCTTCTCCCTTCCCCCCCCCCGGGCCGACCGTCCCATTAAGCAACTGCTGCGATTTTCATACGCCCGATGCAAACCACTGCTTCAAGAGAGAACTCGCTGAGGCAAAATGCAAATGGAACTCCTTCAGCTCTCGGCCTCCTCACAGCTGTGTCAACACCAAGGAGCAAGCTGGGCACAGAGCTCATCTTCCCAATTCCTCCTGTGCTGCCCCAAGTTAATCCCTTTTTTCTAGACTTAGTTGGTTTTTGTTTTTTTTTTTTGTTTTTTTTTTTTTTTGGGGCTGCAGTTTACTTCCCTACATCCCACAGCAGCCGAAGTCAACACAAGCAGCACCACCCCCTTCCAGGGTCTGGCTCGGCATCTCCTGCACGAGAGCGAGGAGCTCGGCCGTCAATCTCGCTAACGAGCAATTACCACTGTCCTGAAAAACCACCAGCCTGCAAGGTCTCTGGCCAGATGTCAGCGCAGGCCACCACAGACGCGTCACCGCGGAGTTTAAAGCCAATGTCTTAAAAAGAAATCACTGACAGCTCGTTACTGTCGAGACTGTTCTGGGAGATACTTGAAAACAGCAGGTTTTCTTTGTTTTCAGTCTCACTCTCAGGTCTTCTGTTTCTTTCTGCCCTTTGTGGTACAGAGAGAAACAGTTGCCCAGAAGAACCTGACAGTCTGATCAAGTGGTGATGCTCATTTTTCTGTACAGTTACAACTGCTGTTTGCAACTCAGCGACAAGCCATACTCCACAATGCCTCCTGGCTCTAGAAGACAGTGCAAAAAATACGAACCAATCATCTTTCTCACCGGAACCAAACATATTCAGCAGCACAGGTGGCTTTCCATCCTCTTTTCCATTACCTTTAGCGTTAGGAGCATAGCGAGGAATTTTTCTTTGTCTCCAACCAACATTGCATTGCTGATGAGGGGAATGGCACCTTTTACAGCGTCCTCGATGGGAACGGGAGGAACGTTCTCACCTCCTGCAGTGATGATGAGCTCTGGAAAACGGTCAAGATTTCTTGATTAATGCTTAGAGCTTTATCCCCCTTTCCTTCACAATCTGAAATAACTCAGTTCTTTGTGACTACTGGATCAAACAGTGAGCCTGTCCCAACATCTGGAAAAGGCAGCGAAGCCGGAGGGCTCCAGCCAGGCCAGGAGAGAGGAGGCCCAGGCCCCTCACACAAGCGGCGCTGCAAAAGCTGCTTCAACGCTGCAGCGAGTTGGCGGTTTGGGACCACGGGGTGCGGCGTACGAGCACCCCGGTACCCTGCCACGGTCACCTCAGACTCTCAGGGCACGTGCGCTGGTACCCAAGCTGTTCAGAAACTGAAGTAAAAAATTTGCTGAGGCAAAGCAGAGTTTTGTAAGTTCCACAGCGCGAGGCAGAGAGCGCAGAGCCTGCCTCGTACGGATTTCTTAAAGCGGCTCCTTTGCGTGACCATTTATCTCCTTGGGATGACCAAAGTCTTGCATGAAATTGGATTTGTTTGGGGTTGGTCAACGTGGCATCCCCAAGAGCTACATTGCTACAAGCCGTTTTCCCAAGCTGGTGTCTTCCCTTACAGGTTAATTAGCAAAGCCAGCTGAGAGTGGAGGGAGCTGGCCGTACACCCAGCTGGACCCAGACAGGTCCAGCACCGTAAAACCATCAAAGCACTACCTACCCCTTCTGAAATCAGAGGATTTCTTCCTCCCTCTGCAAACACACACTGGTGTCAGGGGTCAGCCCCCTCCTCCCGTCACACGCTTTGTCACATGCTCGGTGGCAGGACATGCTGCAGCCACATTCACATTCAAAGCTTCGGGGGCAGTATTTAAATATTCTTCTCTGCAAGTCGCAACTGCGTAACCAGCAGAGGCTGAACGCATCGACCGCAGTACTGCGCAACCTCAGGACAAAGTCGGGGGATGTGTTACCTTTAATTCTGCCAGTGATGTAGAGGAATCCATCTTTATCATGCTTGCCAAGGTCACCCGAATGCAGCCAGCCATCTTCATCAATGGCCTCTTTGGTTTTTTCTTCCATGTTCAAATAGCCCATGAAGATGTGCCTTCCCGAGAAGCAGATCTCCCCGTTGCCATCTCCATCTGGCTTGTGAATCAGCGTCCGGCAGCCTGTCATTTCCTTTCCACAGCTTAAAGAGAACACAAGCACTGACTCGTGGTATTTAAAAAGAAATAAATTGAAACAATCAATAGCTGAGCAGCAGAGTGAGATTATAGCAGTACCCTCTCAAGCTAAAGTGTTTGAACAAAGCCAGGCAGCTTTTTTGTTACAACTGCTTCAGCAAGGAACTTGTAAACTTAAAAGGCATCTGCTTATGTAAGGGGAACTACAGAAAAAGTTGTTATTGCAGAGAGATGAGTGCTCACACACCTGGTGTTTTCCACCCATTGTTCTCAAACACCTGAGCTTTGAATTAGAAGATTTATGTCCTTGGCAGCAAGCTCTTACTCATGGCAGTATTTACTCCCGCAACGGAACCCACAGGGACTGAACAAGCCATTGAGAGCAACAACAGTCATACTGCATTTATTAATTTGACGTTAAAGTGAACTGTAGGCTAGAGTTACTAATTCTTCCTTCTTCCCATGAATCCTTTGCTTCCTCCTCAGTTCCTACAGATCCAGACCAAGTTAAATTTAAGTAACACGGCTGCTGCCCTTGGCAGATCAGTTCATCTGCAAGATGTGACTGAAGGAACAGGCTCCTTAGTGACTTGTTACTGGCAGCAAAACCCTGGGGATGAGCTGCATCAGGCAGGATGGACGTGCCAGACGCAGGAGATACCGTAAAGCAACTCCTCCTCCCAGCCAGCAGTGCTCTACTCACAGAAAGGTGCGTACCTGGTAAGCTTGAACACGTGAGGTAGAGAGATTGTGTGAGGCCCAGAGCTCTCGCTCATGCCGTACAGCTCAAGCACAGGAATGTTCAGACTTAAAAAAAATTCCAGCGTCTCTCTGGTAATGGGAGCAGCCCCCGTGTAGCACTTCGTGCACCGGTCCAGCCCAATGGCCTTCCGCACTTTCTTGTACACCAAATGTCTGGCTAAGTGGAAATTCATTGGGACCTCAGAATGCCTGCAGGAGAAAAATGGTTACAAGATCTCAGTCATCGAGCAGAACTTCTCCCCCTTCCTCCTTTCATCATCATCCTATTTTGGTTTATTCAGTAAAAAAATTAATTATTTCCCCCCCTGCCCTTGCCGCGCACCCTCTGGTACAAGCGCTACATTTGGCCCTTACTGTCCCCAAGTCTGGCCTGTTCCACGGGACACAACTGATCTGACAGTAAAGTTCTCCTAATATTCATAACACCCCTTACGTGTAATTCGTAATTACCCATTCATCCGCTTCAGGTTTGTCTGCAACCCGACCCCCTTGGCCCACGATGCCACTTTTCTTCTGAGTGTCGATGATTTTGCACCTATGGATTTCATTTTCTCTTCCATTTTTTCCCAGACACGAGGAACCCCCAAAAAAGCAGTTGGTCTCACTTCCCGCAGGGTGTCTACCAAGGTGCCCTGAGCAAAGCAGAATTTAATACAGCTGTCAGAAATGCTTCACTGTAGCCTCCAGGTGAGCACTGGTCACTAGCCAAAGCTCAGGACTCCGCCATCAATTCTGAGGAATTGGGCATTGTCAAGTACAGTGCCACTGAGAGAGAGGAACCCGGGAGCATGCAAAGGCCACAGTGGTTTTGAGAGGACAGCAAGGGCCGATGCTTTCGGCGCCGACGCTGGCACAATGCTGAGAAAAGAACTGCTTTCTTCTCAGGACACAGGTTTAATGGTGGTGGCATTTTGCAATGTGGACAGAGCAAATACAAAGCTCTTGCTCAACCAAGCTGCCGGGGCAGAGAACTGGTGTCAGGTGAGACACCAAGAAGCTCCAAGTTGTGAAGTGCTTGGTCAGCGTATCCCAGCTCGAGATACAGAGTCAAAAGGCAAAGGTGAGAGCAGCTGTACGTGCCAGACCCTTAAACAGGAGCCGTCAGTCACTCTGCAAATAAACTGAGTTAACACAGCTGTCAGAATCATGAGGTAAGTCAGCCACGTTTGTTTTAAAGCACCCACACCAGCTACAAGCCGGTGGATGGGTGTAGGATTTTTATTATGTTTTTACCTTTAAGGCGTCCGGTTGAGCAAAGAAAACTTGTACACCGAATGTCATTGCCGACCAAATATCTGTCATCTGTGCGGCAACATGGCTGAGGGGCAGGTAGCTGATCACCAGTTCCTGCTTTTCTTTAGCATCCTTCAGCATTATGAAACGCCCTGCTGCCAACGCCGTCCAGGTCAGCTGTAACGAGATCCATCCCCCATCAGTGCTAAGGGACCGCTGTCCCGAGCGGGCACACCGCAGAACACAGCTCGCCCAGCAAGGCCACCACGTCCTGGGACCTGCACACCAGGCCTGGTTCTTCAGCTGATCTCCTCCACCCTCCCTCAGCACCCAGCCAAGGTCACGGCTCCTGCAATGGGCAGCTGTACAAAAAGACACTTACGTTGTCATGACTGAGCATGACTCCCTTTGGCTGCCCAGTTGTCCCTGAGGTATAGATGAGTGTACAGCACTGGTTGGGCTTCTGCGACTCAATGATTTCATGGAGCTGAGTATCTGGAACATCTCTGCCGAGGTCCATGAACTCGCTCCACTGCACACAGAAGAGAAGAGCTCACTCGCTTCGTAGACTGTCATTCACATACAAAATTAAACCCTTTGCTACACACGAAGAGAAGGAAACGGTTTCCTACATCCAAACCTCTGGCAGAATCTGGAAGAGGTTGTGAATATGCACTGTCAGCCCTCCAATGTTTTCTGGCTGCCACAAGAGGCATGGTGGGAAGCAGAAAAGGAGACAGATCCACCCTAAGGAAGCTTACCAGGTCTGTAGCAACCCTGGTGTTGACTGGGAGTGCCAAGCTGGGGTAAACTGTGGGACCTGAGGCTGCCTTGCACAAGTCAGTATGCTAACACCCACCCTTACAACATGGATTATCAAGGTTTGCACAGCAGTAGGTATCTACTGCTTCAGGGAGGCAAGTGATCCCTCACTAAAACCAACACAAATTCACATGATGACAGTCCTGTGAAAAGTGATGGTTGCTTGCAAGCCATCAGCTAAACACAGCCAGTATTTACAAACCCTTAAGTTACCCAGTACTTACAGAGTACAGATTTGGTCTCTTCTCTTTTAGCTCTTCCCCATACTGGATAATAGCTTTCAGATGAGGTAGTTTATGCTGAATCTGTGTTAAGAAGGGAGATTTGTGAGAAGGAGCAAATCCTGCTTGTCCCTTTTGAGCCTAAGTAACCCACCACTTAACATGCTATTGCTACTTGCCATTTTAAGTAAAGCTAAGAGAGTTATCTGCGTTATTGAAAGAGAACCAGGAAGCCTCAACAGAGGCAGTAATTGTTGGGACTGGGATGCTGCCAGACAACTGGGATCACTCAGTTGTTCATTCTGGCTTCTCATATTTTAAGTTCAAGGCTTTGCTAAGTTGTAGAACCACCACTTAACCTCTCGTGAGATTTGGCACTAGTTACTACTCATCTGGCTTAAACAGGGAGCGCACCAAGTAAGCTCGATGTCAGTTCACCTCTGCTTTCAGGTCCTGCAGTTCCCTCAGGTATAACCCTCCCACAACTGTCAATAGGATGCTGTAGCCCCCAGTCATTTAAAAAAATATATTTACTTCTAAGATTTTCTGCAGCTGTTTATGGTTTTCCACAACCAGAACGTTAGCACTACAGCTCTCTGCTACATAATGACAGGCCTCAGGAGAGTTTGTAGTGTAGATACCAACAGCAAATCCACTACAAAAAGAGAAAATTAAAACACAGAATTAGAGGATAAACAGAGTTGCTGGCAAAATTCAGATCATTTCAGACTTTAACAGAGGAAAAACTTTAGGAAGAATATCCCATAAAACAACAACAAAAAGTGGACGGCTTAATTCCAAGAGCAGCGGATCTGTTCTGGGGCACAGAAAAAGTCAGAATGGTGTAAGGGACCAAAATGTCTCAGGTGGAAGGTGGCTATCAAAATCCAGTGCTGTGATTCGCTGGCATTTCCCATATTTTTAATTGCAGTGTAAGTAAGCATGCTTTTCAATTAACCTATTGTCCATCTTATTTTGAGAGAAGCACCTGGCTAAAAAAAAAATAATTTAATTTTTGTCTCATTAATTCCTAATGAGGTGAGTTTCAGTTCTAGCTATCTTCATTAAATTAAAATACAAGCAGTTGGTTTTGTTGTTTTTCTTCTGGTGTGTTCTGGGTTTTTTTTTTTAATCAAAAACTGCTCCTCACACGATTACTGAAATTACTACCTGAATGCTAAAGCAAAATGCATGTCAAGAGACAACACTCCATCTTACCCTGCAAGGATAGCTCCAATGTCAGCAATAAACCACTCTGCAGAATTAAATCCCAAGATGCATACTCCATGGAAACGCTCTAGTCCCAGCTGTAAACAAGAGATGAGATTACAGCTATCTTGCTTTTCCTTTGAAGAATGCTTAGAGCTAATTTACAGTTCTCTGCTGCGAGCACAACGTCAAGGAAAAAGTTCATGCTGTTATACACAGTAATTTACATTGAAAAACTTCCCGGGACCTAATATGGAACCAGATACGTTTCAGATCAGACACTGTTCCACTTCATCAGTGGCCAGGAAAAAAAGAATTTCCTTGTGTCTGCACTTGGTATGACTAGTTCAGTGGCACTAATGGTATTCTAAAACTGCAGTCCAGGTAGTTATCAGTTCCCTTTGGGCTGGAAATGAGAAGGTAAGAGGTTAAGTTAGACAACACCTACTGAGACATTTAGTACAGGTTAGATATGGCAGACATCAATAATGACAAGAGCAACAAACTCCAGTGACACTCAAAGGCACTTTGCTATGAAATTCCAGCTGTTGAACTCCCAGTCTCTAAATCTCCTTCAGCCATCTTCTGATTTTGTCCCACAGTGGAAGGATGTAGACTGGAAGATCCCACCACGGGAGTAAAACCTGAGTGGCCTTAACTTCAAGAAATAAGACTTCATAATGGTAACAGTAAGTACACGTAATGTTGGTTTCACTCTCTGGGTGTCTTAACTCCCAACAGTACAGGCAAAAGGCTCAGCCAGTCTGGACACTTAAATCTGATTCATAAGCATGCCTTCAGATTTAATTTTTTTTTTAGAAAAATTAAAAATTACATGCCTCCCGAGGGACGTTATCTAGGTTTGCTGTATACTTCAAACACCTCTCTTTAAATGTTTCCTTACACACTATTTTTTTAGTTGAATGTGGAAGAAACTTGCAAGAAATTCAAACAAAAGCCCTGTGGTAATCACCAAGCTGTTCATGGCACGTTCAGGTATTTCCCTGTCACTTTAAGACTTACCTACACTCAGAGAATTTGCAGGTTTAAGATACAGTTGACTACAGCCATTTCAGCAGTTCAACTGACTGAACATGAACCAGGAGAATTCAACAAAAGCTTACCTTCAGAAAGCTTTTTGCTGCTTTCCAGCACTCATCATAGTACATCTTATATGTTAGTTTTATCCACTGGCCACCCTTCTTGGATGCAAGGGCATAATAATCACCATATTTATTAACAGCTTCCTGGAAGAGCTCATGAACTGTCTTTGGTGCCTCACTGCCTATGCCCTGCTCATCCATCCTCAGTCTGACTTCTCCATCTCGTCGTGTTGTCCACACACTGGAGGTAGGAGATGAAGAGGCTGGTTTGAAAGAAAAGGGTTCAGCATCTTATATTTAGAAATTGCTTGCTGCCATAACAGAAATATAAATAAAAGTATCAAACATATCAAAACAATTGCTAATATAACTGCTCCCACCTCCTTTTTTTGACCTTTTACTCTTGGCAAGTTCACCATACAACTCCCAGTATTTTAGACCAGGATTAATAGCTGAAGCCTCTAAAGCACTTTCAAAATTTTGTTAAAACATTTCCCATTTACATCCTCCTCTAACCTGCTTTGCTGCCCTAAAGCCCTTGTACTGGTAAGGTGGCAGCTTCTGCAACAATCATATATAACGTGGTGGGGTTTTTTGTTTGTTTTGTTTGGTTGGTTTTGGTTTGGTTTGGTTGTTTTTTGTTGGGTTTTTTTTTTTTTTTTTTTTGTTTTTTGTTTTTTTTAAGGAAGACTGGAAGTAAGACATTATTACCTGGTAGATATGCATTAGGCAGTGACACTACCTATTTTACTCCTTGAAACACATCTGTGCTTTAAAAGTCAAAGTTCCAGAAGCCTCTGGACAGACCATCCTGCTATTTCAATTTCTTCTTCCATTGTTACAGTTTGCTAAATTCCTCTCTCGTTTCAATAATAATTTTATGCACACCACAGTAACTAAAAATTCTTTCCACTTACCTTTGGAACCAAGTGTGTCTGTGTGACATCCAGCCGTCTTAGTATCTTCAACCGTCTCAATGCTGTGGACCTCAACGGTTCTGCAAGGCAAAAGCAATTAGCCCTGGATAGACTTTAGCACACTGGCTGAAGAACACTGTAGGCATGCTTGCTCCATCACTTAATTATATTAGACCTTGGATGTCAAAGTGGTTCCTGATATTCTGCAGGTGACTTTATTAATTCTACTAGCCCGCACAGCTATAGCAACAGACCAGGTCCCTCTCAGAGTACGCAGGCTTTGCCTGCATTGCTTTTAAACACATCTCTGTTGTCCCAATTGTAGCTATCATTTCAGATAAGCTGCAGAATCCATAAACACATCATCCAGAGAACAGGGGTAATTTAATACCAGAGGGCTGCTCTAGGTGCTTGAAACAAAGAGTCTACAGCAGTGGGGAGGATGGGGGGCAGGAAGAGGCAAACGGATTTGGTGCTTATCTCCTGTCTGCAATGTGTGAGTCTAAGGGAGGGGGGACCCTGGCTCTCCTGAGCAGCGCAGCAGTTCCCCTGGCTCCTCACCCTGTGGGGAAACCCGCAGAGATTTCCTGCAGAAGGCCAGGCCAGCTGAGGAGCAGGAAATTGATTTAACAGGAAATCTTGTTCTTAGGTATTTCTACTAAAGTCAGTGCATTGGGCTCCCACCAGATGTTTGTGAAGAAATGGAAACAGGCACATCCCCTGCCTGCTCCAGCCCGTGCTCCTCACCAGGAGCTTGTCCTGCAGTGCCAGCTGAAAGTTGCCCCTTTTACTTTCAACCTGGCAGGAGCTGGTGAAACGCTCCCTGCCTGTGGCTGTACAACAGTGTTCTTCCTCTGTCCCTTTCCAAGACGGACTCTCACAGCCGCAAGTGATGAGGAAAGGGATAACCAAGTCGCAAGTCCCACTCTAGACCACGAGTTGGAAGCCAGACCCTGTGAGATTTGGTGTTTGAGTCCCTGTGCTCTGCTCCCCCCAAGGGCATCCCACCCTCCAACCTCCAGGCAGATGACGCTTGTTCCCCTACCCTGGGCAATACCCTGCTTGGCCCACTGGCATAGCGCTAAGGTCCAAGTTTTAGTCAACCCAAGATTATATTCCAGAGAACCAAAATTTCCACCTTGCCTTGCCAAACAGCCCTCCTGGGGCCCTTTGCTCCAGGCCATCATGTTGGCCTTTGTTTCTCCATGCCAGTGCTAGGTGTTTACTCTTCCCCATGGCAATGCTTGGTGTAAGGTTTCTCTCTAGCACCAACTCCCAGGTTTTCTAGAAGGCCCGCAGGCTGCTGACATCACAACAGCCCTGACCCTCCGCAGGGGCAGCTTTGGGGCAGAAAGAAGCCCCAATATCTCTGCTGGTCACCATCAGACCCCACCTGCAGACAGGCAGGAGCTCCTCTGGTCCCACGTAAACTCCTCAGCCTAATCCAGGCAGGTTCCCACCAAGCCTGACATTTTCTTCCCTGTCTACTAGACCAAAGAGAAGCTAGCACAAGGCACTGGGTGAATTTCAGTGTAATGGGTAAGTCTCCTCCCTCTGTGTTACATTTTCCCTGAATTTCTAGGGGGATAGTCAACCCTTACTGCTTTGGGCATCTGATAAGGTTTAAGGCATAGAGAAGACTTGACACGGCTTCTCACATGTACTGTCCAAAAGCAGAACTGCTTTTCCCAAGTACTCTACAAGCCAGAAACCAGAGGGAAGTAAATAATGTTTTTTCTTTATTTCCCCCAAAGGATTACGAGATGTTCCCTACTATGTGTTTCCTCCTCATTGAGAACATTTTTCAGCACAAATTAATCCTCAGTTGCAATAGTTCTGCACCATTTCTTCACCAGCTTTTATGATCAAAGTATGCAAATGACCCAGTAATATTGAGCAAAAATGCCCCAGCTTTTTCCCTCACAGTGAATCATCCTTTTCTCCCCCTTACTACATGTAATTCAAATGCAGCCTGAAAAAAATTAGGTAAAGAGGTTTTTGTCAGCTGTATCCCATTACCCTGCAGTGAAATATAGGCCCTTAACTACTAATCTGTTCTTTAGTAAGAGGCTGCTTAGATTTACAGAGAGACTAACAGGAGTTTCATAAAAATCAGCACAGGTACTGCACACAAGCTGTCACCTACAGAGGCAACCTCTCTGTGTGCAGTACAGCAACACTTCACAGACAATGGAGTACTTGCTGGGTATTCTAAATATCTGATCAGTGCCCTTCCAATTATATAGAATTAACAATTACACAAAGTTCCTTTATAAGAGGTGATCTTTCTGACTACATAGAATATTCTACTGTTCCTGTGCTTTAAGTTTTTATTAAATGCACACTACTTCAAGCTCCATACACTGTGTAGTAGCTATGTACAGCAAATTTAATTCTGTTCCTCTTCTTTTGAGAGGGCGAGATTGTAGATGCAGCTTTTGGATTTTGGAAGTAGTAACAAATGTTTGAAAGCTTCCCAAAAAAATCTTAATTAATCTCATTAAACATGACAGAATGCAAACTGTATCCTATGTATACAGATCACCACAGAGAAAATCAAATCTTAAATGAGACAAACCTAGTTGAAGAGTTGAGCAGTACATCATCCAGTGACACCTCACAGTTCCCTTGAGGATCTGAAGTAAAATAAGCCGTGGGGACGGGTTCCGCAAGTGCCATACGTGCATCTGACTCACACAGCATTGTCCCTGTAAAAACAGGTTTTAAAAATTAAAATACAATCAAATGCTACAGTAAAATCAGCTTCCATTGGCCTGACTATCTGAGCAAGGCAATCCCAAAGCAAGCAGGACTTGAGACTGCTGTATTTGCATGAAATACAGTAAATTCTAACAGCAGATGCAGCGCATTCCACTTCACACTTGGTTCATTCAAGAAACCTTATCAGCGCTAAATGATACATCCACTCCCACATTCAAAAACAAGCGTGATAAATACAGCTTTGAAAGAGCATCTAACAATTTACACTCCCTTTGCCCCAAATGTTCCCACTTGTCTCTCAGACCCCCCCAACCCGGCCACCCCAGGGCTCCGGGTCCAGCCTTACAAGGCATCGCCTTTGTGCAGCCTCTCCTCCCGCAGCCGCTCCGGCCCAGCGCTGAAGATGAAATGTAATATCTCTTATTTTTAAACTAGCGCCCAGGAGGCAGATCTGGAGCATCTTATGTCATGTGCTGCCTGCCTTGCAATTGGAAGCGGCTCCTCACCCCACACCGCCGCCTCTTAAGGAAGCTCTGGCCCCGTGCCCACCCGCCAGCCTCGGGCACGCCGGGGCTTCAGCGTCCCTCTCGGGGGACACAGCCCCGGGACACCCCGGAGATTTAACCTGTTCTTATAAAAAAAAAAAAAAAAAAAATCAGCTTTTTTGCAGCCGCTGTGTTTTCCGTGGCTCCTCCACTGCTGTCAGTACTTTGTCGTTAGGGGATTTTGTCACTTGAACGAAATGTTGATTTCATTTAACATTTACATTTGTCAAAAGCCATTGATGTTTATGACTTGACAGGCTGAGCTTTAATTGTTTCGAGTGATTTCTGATTGGAGATGAATCTCATTACCCTTGATCTCTTTAAAAAGTGAATTTTAGCATGCTATTTTGTACCTGCATTAGACAGGCACAATTTAAAACAGACAAAGTGAAGAGCAGGTTTGTCTGAATAACAACAGACGGGAGGAAAAGGAAAGAGCCCTTTCATCTAATCAAGCTGTCACAGCTGAGCTGCAGCCTTCTACCTCTTACGGGTGGGGAAAGCCACAGGCAGCCGCAATTCACAGCAGGCAGACCTGCCTCCAGCCCAGGAAAGCACATCCCCCCCCCCCCCGCTTCTGCTTACTCATCTACGGAAGGACACGTTGCTGCTCACGCCACGCTCTGCTACAGGCTACAACTCACAGCACAGAAAACAGTTTAATTCACAAGCACTGAGGAAAGGCCATCTCCAAAAAACCCATCTCTGAAGCTCCGAGATAATTGGCAGATGTCACTCAACACCCCATTCTAGGCTAAAACACCAGAACGGTTTATTCTGGGGTTTCTTTGGTTGGTTGTTTTGTTTGTTTTTTTTTGTGTTTTTTTTTGTTTTGTTTTTTTGTTTTTTTGTTTTTTTTTTATGAAACAGCTGTGAGAAAAGGGGCATTATCTCTACAGAGCAGCTCAGTGCTAGGAGCAGCCACCCAGACCTGTGAAACTTGGGTTTAGTTCCCTTCCCAGCCTGGAGGGACTTAAACCCACATGTAGACGAGCAGGCGGTTAGCAGCCTGCATGGTGCCTGCTGGAGGTGTCACCACCGCCTCTCTTGCTCAAGGAGAGTCCCAGGCACGAGGCGAGGAGGAGCGTAAGGTAGAAACTGCCACCAGGCCTGAGCCCCTTTCGCAATACTGTACCCACCTACCTTCCCAGCGCCCCGTAACAAGGAGTTTAAGGCTCCCCTGCATCCCTGAAGGAATCTTTTTCTCTCTGCACTAATTATAGCATTTCTCTTGCCATCCGCTCTTTAATGCGGCAAGGCAAGTTTCAAGGGAAAGGATGGAGGTGGCCTCACGCCAGCTACCCCGCAGCACAGCCCGGCGAGCTCTTGGGCAGCAGAGGTTGGCTGGAAACACGTTGGGCAAAGAAAGGCAGAAGTGTCACTTCCCAGAGAGGCATTTCGGCTGGTAGGCTGCGGGTTTCTGCATCACCCCCAGTCACTCAAGAGGGAAAAAAAGGCTTCAGAGCAGAAACCGCAACCGCATTCAGCCCTTGCTGCGCTGTGCATGTGCTCTTCACCCAGACCCCCTGCATGGGGTACAACCCTGACAGCGGGGTCTCCTGCTGATGGGTGTTTGGTTCCCAAGTGTGGGCAACACCAGCTACGGCACAAAGATCAAGGATGTGAGGCTGCACAACTTGAAAATCCAGGGAGACACAGCAGGACATCGCTGTTACCACTGCATCCAGGGAGATGGGTTCTTCAAGGAGAATCTGTTAACAGGCCCTCAGCACCGGGAGGGCAGCAGCAGAACGCCTGGAGAGCCCAGGTACACTTGCCCCACGAAACAGAAAGCTGAAGTGCAGCGTGGTTGTGCAAGTTTCCTTGTGAACACAGGCCAGAGGAATCCCAAGTCAGTCATGCCTTTTATATAACGAATTCAGGTTAGAAACAAAAATTTGCCAATATATATACTCGCTAGCTTTGCTAAGCATTGCAGCTAGCCTGTTCCTTCTCCAATGCTTAGTTACAAACACAGCTATGCTACACAAGCCACTGGAAAACACACAAGCCCACCAGAGCCAGGCTTAATGCTGGCAGTAGCTCACTGGGGTGAACGGGATCACCTCTCCTGCCCCACGCTGTTTCCAGAGGAGTTAACACACTGTGATGCACCACTGATGTTCAGGTACACGAAGAACAGGCACCCAAACAAAAACCTGCTGAAAGAAACCTCCCTTTTAATTAAGCCTGTGTGACAACTTAAGTCATTTAAATACAAAGCATCTTCTGCTTCAAGGGAGTGCTATGTCCTAGCAGACTGGAAGTTGGTGAATGATTTCACTGAAACTGCTGCAGAGCTTCACTGACAAAACAGAATAGAAGTCTGACTACGTGCAAACTCGTGACAGTCAACAGGACCGGAGTGAAGGTTTCATTTATAATAGCATCTGAACACGCCTTTACTTAAAACACACACAGAGCTTCAGAAACATCAGTTCAGAATTCAAATTACTGCATACGTTCATCAGCCATCTTGACACTTCCCAGCACAGCCCACTTTGCTTCCTGTTGCTGACCTCTTTTTACTGGTAAAGACACCACATCTGATCAGGTCCAGTTCTCACCATGCAGATCAGCTCTAGATTGCCACATTATCTCACTGCCTTTCCACATTTCCTTCAAAAGTGAAAACTTGGCCTTTTTGTTCCTTTGTTTTCTTTAAAGATTTATGAAGTGAGGAAACAGAAGCTGAGCAACCCACTCTTCCTCTTTTGGATAAATTCCATTTTTAAAAAGGGCAGCGATAAAAACCTCCTAAGCACTAAAGGTTTTCTCCTCGGCAGTACCACTGACCATGGGTCGGCGTACGGCTGGGAAATTATCTGATGCAGGAGAGAACACGAGGAAAAACAACCCCAAACTTGATAAGGATAATACACCAAAGATCCTGAGCGAATGACACGACTGCAGACAGATGCTCGACTCCACTGCAGCACCTTCAGAGCCGAACTTTGGCTGATCAAAGCCACCCCCAGAACGTCCCTGTCAGCGGGACCCAGGCCCTGGCGTGGGCTGACACCTGGGGCCGGCGGCATCCCTGGGCACCCTGCAGCTCCTCAGCCACGCAGGCCACCACGCAACTCGTTATTCTAAATTTTAAGCAGGTTGCTCCTCCAAGACACCGGGGTATTTTAGGTGAATTCCCCAGCAGCGTGACTCACCAGGAGGCTGGTTCAAGTTCCTCTTTCCTAAAGTGCCATTTGCTTTACGACGGCATCTGCGTTCATTTGCCTGCGGGTGGGAAATCCCCTCACGCCGTGAGCAAGAGAGCTCAGGGGTGCACTTTCACAGACGCATCACCCGTGTTTCTGCCAGCTTCCACGCTGCCCAAGCCTTTACCTCCGGGAAGTCCAGCCTCGCTCGGAGCCGGCGGCACCAGCGTGTCCCCAAACACTCGTGTCGCCTCACGAGGGCTGGTGACACCTGCCCACGGGGACAGGATGGGCCTTCTCAGGTGTCCTCAACCCACAGCGCTGCCCCTCTGCCAGGGCGGGTCAGCCCCACACGGACCGTGGGTTTATTTAACCCAAATCTCAAAGTATTTTGCTTCCGTGGGCCAGGCATCCCCACTCGCAAAAGTGCCAAGAGAAGAAGCCGGCTCGGCACTTGCCAGAAAGTTTTAATTTCACAGCCGAAGAGTGAAACACACACACCCCCCCCCCGCGACGGGTGGGCTCAGACCCGCGTTCAACACCCGCGCAGCCTCCGCCTCGGGGTGCCCAGAGCGCGGCAACACCGCGTGGACACGCGTGGGACCCCCGGCTCCCTCCTCCCCGGCCGCCGCGGGTGGGTGACCCTGTCACGGCTCGCGTGGGCGCCACCCACTTCCCCGCGCGCTGCGTTTCCCGCGCCGACGAAGCAAACCGCCCAAGACCGCGCGTGGAAGGCGGCGGCGGCGGCGGCACCGCCCCCTCCCCGCACCTGCGCACGCGCCGTTACCTCAGGAGCCGGCAGAACGCGCGACGACTCCCGACCCCCCCACACACACACACCGCGCGCCGCCACGCGGGGCCCTTTAGGGCGCTCGTGGCCGGGGGGGGGCGGGGCCAACTCCCCAGAAAGGGCGGGTCGGCCCTCACCCGCCACGCCCCCTCCCCGCTCGAAAGACCCGCGCCGCCGCGCCATTGGGCGAGGCGGTTGTCGGAAGGCGGTGAGGCCCCGCCCGTCGCTCCGCCCCCCCCGGCGGAGGTCACCCGCGGTCGTTGCCCCCGCCGGGCCCCGAGCAGCAGCCCCGGGCGGGGGGAGAGGCGCCGGGCGCCACCGGCACCCCGAAAACGGGGAGCGCGGCTGCGCCCCCGGGGGGTGGGATTCAGAGCTGCGAGCCTGAGGTGCTTCTGCGAACAGCGCCCGCCCCGCCGAGGAGAAATAAAGAGAAACGCGGCGGCGGCTGCTCGCAGCTGAGGGGGGGCTGTTTGTTCCCCACCAAACCCCCAGCACGCTCTGGTTTTGCCATCAGCACCAGCGAAGGAAACGGGCTGGATGCGGGGGGGGCAGCGGGACGGGCCCTGCCCTCCCTGGGGATTGCTTGTTTAAACTGGAGACCCAGCACCCATTTCTGAATTTATTTTTTTTTTAAAGCTTATGGTCAGGTAGATCACCTAGCCGTTCTCGGTTGTTTCTAGCCGATAAAGTTGCAGAAAAGCCAGAATGTTGCTTATCCTCTTAGCAAAACAGCTGTATCCGTCAAATGAATTATTGCTGTTATTTTGCTAGGATAGGCCAAGAATTCCTAAACATTGATTTTTTTCCTGCGGATTCTTCTCTCCCTCTCCTCATCACCCAGAGATATTTCCCATTCACACAGGGCGGAGAGGGTATGGCTCACGCCATTTAGCTGATGAGCGAACGGAAGGAATATGTCATGAGAGAAGCTCCTGCCAGAAGGTCAGGGCCACAGATGGAGCAGCAGCGGGTCCTGAGGCCAGGACGGCGCTGAGGATATTGCAGCTGCAGAACAGCCGCGGCCCAGTGAGATGATGAAGGCTGAGTCAGCCCCGGGAGCCCTGCACCGTGCTGTCTGCAGGTCCAGGCACCCAGGAGGTCCTGCTTTGTCGGCTCTTTGCCATCTCTTGCAGTCAGAGCCTTCCCCTGCAGCTCCACTGCACTGCCCTCCCTGTCCCAGCTATCTCATCTCCTCCTCTCCGCAGCCTGGCCAAGTCCCTTGAGTGGCTCCATTTTGATTCAGGTGGCAAATTTATTCTGAAGAGCAAGGATACGAACAGCATCCAGAAAGTTGGTGAGATCTGTAAACTTAGGGGACCGCTAATCCTCTTACTCCTGTCGTGCCTTGGTCGTTGGCACAGCGCAGTACCTGCCGTGCTGACAAGGGGCACGTAGTTCTCAGTGAACCAAGGAAAGATTCAGTGGCACAGCCCAAAGGTTAACTGAAGTGGCAGGAGTAACCAGCTCTATTTTTGGAAATGCCCTGAGCCAGCAAATTACCTCGGGCAAGCTGCTCTTTTGTGCTCCCAGCGTCCTTGTCTATCAAACAGGTTGCATCATTGCCAAGGTAGATGCCACGGTGTTTGCAAAACTCCCACGGTTCTGGGACTGAAGGAGACCTCATTTCTGATAAAGGGCCAGGTAGGAACAAAGATAAGTGCAGGTGGTCCTCAGGCAACTCTGCCACAGGCAGGAGAGGGACTGTTCGTGCTGCCTGCAACACAACAGCTTATACATTGGCGTAGCTACAAGAACTGTTCTTACTGATTGGTGATAGCACAGCCCAGCCCTTTATGGAGCAAACATGGAGTAGTTTAAACTAGCAAATACACCAGAGTGACTGCGCCCTTTGTCAAGCACTGCCTTTCCTGCCTCTATGTTTACTAGCAATTAACTCAAGTGGAGTCCCAGGGTTCTCACTTTCCGAGGCACCGTGAGCAGGGTGGCTCGAGCCGCTTCAGGATATATTAACGCAGTGCAGAATCGCTCGCCTGGAGTGAATTTTAGCCATGGGCAGCTAGGCCAAGAAAGACTGGAAAGTCTTTGCAGGTATCAGTTGTTCCAATCACGGGCTCATGACTGATCTTACTGAATTTTCACGCCATGAAAATTGTAACCGGCATGAATTATGTATAGTGGGGGCCGGGTGTGGGAAGTATTAAATACACATCTTAGTCCTGCATTTGTTGAATACAGAGAGGAGAGGCAAGTGAAGAAAAGTACAATAGCATCTACAGTCTGCTTAGATATTTTCAGTCTCTGGGACTTCAAAGGGAATAAAGGCCAGATTCTCATGTGATGCCAATCAATGCAACTCTGCAGAAGCAGCCATGTCCTCTGGCATGTTTCCTGCCAAGATCAACATCCAAACCAAAGCTGTGTATTTTACAGCAAAGGACCAGATAAGCAGGCACAGTGCCTTGGTGTCTGGGTCTGTAAAGCACACCTAACAATTGAAATGCATTGTCTAAATCACCAGCCCACATTAGAGTGTTAATACAGATTATCCAAATAAATTGTCGAATACTTGTATAAAGTTATAATTCTAGTTTGACACAGGTTTGAAGAACTGTCACGTCTGCTGCCCTTAGAAAAGGCAGGTCACGAAGTGTGGGAGCTGGAGAAGAGATCTTGGTTACAGAGTCTGACTGTGGACCAAGCTTACAGAAGATACTGGACAAATACAGAGTATTCAAGAAATGTGAAATAACCTTCCCCTTTGAAGATGCCTTTTCATTATAGAGTCACTCCTAACAATCAGAGTTTCACATCACCTTTAAATTGTACTCGTGATGCAAGATAGTGAGAGGGGGGGAGATGGCTGCAGGTTAAGCAGCCTCAAGCTCTGTGGATAACACAGGCCAAGGGGAGACCAAAAACTCCATAGAATCCTTTTTGTTCCTGTTGGTAAATTTTATGGTGAGGATACCCAGATATTGCAGCAAGTTGAAAATGCAGATACTTGCTTGATTTCGATAAAACCTCTAGTTAATAATCTGCTTGGATCACTTGCAGTAGGACAGCAGCATCTTGGTTGTCTAAGCCTGGGATGTTGCACCTTGTTGACTATTGCAATATGTGACCTTTTACTGAGTGTAGACACACTCCTGGAGGTATTTAAAAAACATGTAGACGTGGCTCTTAGGGGCATGGTTTAGTGGTGGACTTGGTAGCATTAGGTTAATGGTTGGCCTCGATGATATTGAGGGTCTTTTCCAACCTAAATGACTCTATGGTGCCTTCATGTTTCTATCCTGCCTTGACATTTGCAGGTATTTATTATGCTGCAGCAGAAAACTAAGGTGGAGGGAGATGCCATCAAGGACATAGGCATCCCTCAGAAGACAAGAGCGGTAGGATAAGTGCCTTGCCAAGGCCTAGAATAAACGCAGATTAGGGCCATGGTACTTTAGGCTTGTGAATGTCAAATCACCCAACTGTGGTTAGAAATGCTGGTGTACAGACTCACACTTCTTCCAGACAGGGGTTAGTTTGTTGTTCAGGCACAGGGTGGCTGCTGCAGAGAGCTGCATTCTGCTTCATCTTGGCCACAGGTTTCCTGTACTCTACAGAATATCACCCTGCTTTCTGGTGAAACAGAAGTTGTTCCATTTGCAAGTTATTTCCTACCTCGAGCAAAGAATCATCTCTTCATACAGCTGTGGACACAGAGAGTAGAAATTAGTTTCTTTTTCAGCTTAATCATTCCCCATATGGAACAAGTCAAATCTGCCCACATAAATGACTCAAGACAGTTTACACAACTTCACTTTTATCACCCTTCCCATCCAGCCCTGGCATTGGGTCTGTAAACTATTTTGGGCTAGCATTTCTCTGATAACCGTCACAAATTTACAACTCCAGGGTCACTGGTAGCAAGTGACTCAACCCAAGCTGTAGTTGCACCTCAGGACATCGACTCGAAAGATAATGCGGGGGGACATGGACAGTACACTATTTCAGCAATTTCCACACGAAGCTCAACAAGAGGAGAATGAATGCACTGAGAAAATAGGCTGGTAAACATGCAGTCACAAGAAAGGAGAGGAGACAGAAGAATCCATTTATAGCATTGTCATTTCTAAAGTTAAACAGGTCATGTTCTCTTTCCCACCAAGAAGTTGCAACATATTTCTGGTCATATGAAAGGTGTAGGTCTCTCTGGAGAAAAAACAACAAGCCAAAACCCAAAAAAGCCCTCCCCCACCCCCCCCACCCCCCCAAAAAAAAAGACACACACACACACTAAAATCCCACATCAAATTAAGTTCTAGATTCATATCCAACTCTCAGATGTCACAAATCAACATAGCTTCAACAAAGCCAAGGCGTCTTCACCAGAACACACCAGCGGATAACAGACCTTTATCTGCCTCTGTCTGTAAATAACATGACTCTTCTGCAGTTTTGTTCTCATAAATAAAACTGGAGCAGAAAGTATTTGTCCTGTTTGTCATAGGCACAAACACCTTTTTTATTTTTTTTAGTACTCATTAAAACCTGCACACTAGTGGATTTTGAAACAGCACAGTATAGGCAAAGGCTGTCCCTTGTCTTACACAACACACAAAGTATAGTGTGTGGCATACACATTTATAAAGTGTGAAAGGCAGTGGAGAATTAGAATTAGCCTATATAATAATTTGGTTTGATGCTAGATATCACCTCACTTAGGAAATCTTACTTATATCCTCTGAATATTAAAGCTAAAACCAAATTGCAATGCTATTTATGCCCACAGGTAATTCCACTTTTGAAAAAGAATTTTGTGGAAAGCCATTTGCTCCAAAATGAGAAGTTACATGTGGAAGAAGGGAGTTATTTCCAGCAGCTCAAAAAAAAAAACCCCAAACCAAACAACCAAACAGCTGCATCTCTGGAACTTCAATAAACAAGACAGTTACAGCTTTTCTCTTGCTGCTCTAAGATGAGGACAGCGGGATTGCTTCCCCCCTCCCAAGCCAAGGGGCTTTGTTGCAACGGTTTCACCGTGTTCACCGGGCAGATTTAGCCCAAAGCAGAAGGCGGCTGTGCCTTGTCTGTCCTCCCTGTTTACGCTGTGTTGTAACCAGGAAAGAGATG